AAAAAATAAAAGATGAAAAAAAAAAATAAAAACTTTTTTTTTTTTTTTTGTTTTGTTTTATTTATTTTATCTCATTCTTATATGCATATTTTGTTTTGTTTTTTATTTTTTTTTTTTCCATTTTTCTCCTCTTTTCTCAATCTATCATCTTTTTATTCGTTTCCTATTTTCTCTTTAGACTTTGTAAAAAAAAAATAATAAAAAATAAAAAAATAAAATAAAAATTTTAAATTATTTATTTATCTATCTTTTTGTTTCATTTCTTAAATAACTCAATTTTATATAGCTATATAAAATAAATTGTTTAAAATAATATTTTTCCAAAAAAAATATATTTTTTATAATCTTTAAATTATTTGTATAAATTTATTTGTTTATTTATTTAAATAAAAAATTTATCAAATATTACTATTTTCCAAACACACTCACTTTTTTTTATTTTTTTTTTACCCACAAGTTGTTATATATATACCTTATCGTACTTGTAAATATTTTTTTTTTAAATATTTTTTAAATTTTTTAAAAAAAAAATTTCACTTTCTGTTGTTCAACAACACACATGTAAAAATTTAAATTTTGAAAAAAAAATTTTGTGTTTTTTAAAATTTTTTTTTCTCTCATTAATTTTTTTTTCTTCACACAAATAAACAACAAAGTAAATATTTTAAAAACTATTAAAAACCATTAAAAACACAATATTATTTTTATTATTTCCTTATTTCTACTATATCTTGATGTAGTTTTAATGTTTTTTGCCCTCTTTGTGGTGTATAAAATTTTTTTTTTTTTTTTTTTTTATTGCACTTTTTTATTTTTTTTGTTGTTAAATTTTTTTTTTTTTAAAAAATATAAACTATCATATAATTTTTTTTTTTTATTTTTTATTAAAACTTTTTTATTTACAAAAAAAAAAAATATAATCGTAAAAAAAAAAAAAATAATCTTTTAAAAACAACTATCTTTTAATGTTTATATACTAATTGTGCTATTATTTCTACTACTTTTACCCTACTATAACCCTATAATTTAGTTAAAAAACACATATTTAAAATCAAAATGTCAACTGTTAACGCTAAAGATCTTGATAACAAAACCTACCCAGAAATCGTCCAAATTGCTAAAGAATTAGGATGTTTCATGCCAAAGAAGAACGCTAAAAAGACTAGAGATGCTGTCATTAACCGTATCAAAAATCATTTATCCAAAGGTGGTTCAGCCACTGCTGCCTCAAAAACCGCTGCTAAAGCTAAACCAGTAACCACCAATAAAAAAGCTGCTGCTGGTGCTAAAAACTCTGCTGCTGCTAAAAAATCAGCTGCTAAAGATGATGCTGAAAAAGATGATGCCGCCTCAGACAGCAAAGAGGAATAAACAATCAAAAAGTATCACCTCATAAACTCCCACACAAATAACTAATTTTTTTTTTTAAAAAAAACAACAACCAATAACAAATCATTAATATTATAGTCAAAAATTTTTCACAAACTCTTCTTTCTAATAAATAATTTATTTATTTATTATTTTTTTTTTATCATATGTATTAAAATTAAATTAAATAAAATTCATTAAAATATTATATAAACAAAAAATATTTTAAAAAAAAAAATATTTAAAAAAAAAAGAAAATTCCATTATGTTTTTTATTTTTTTGGGTGTCTGTTTAAAAATAATTTATCCGTTATCACATAGTTTTTTATTATTTTTTTTACATCACATTATTAACTTTAAGTTTTATTTATTTTATTCAAACACCTTTATTTTATTAAAATTTATCTTTAATCCAATTATTTAATATGATTGACTTAAGGGTCACAAAATTTTTATTTATTTTTATTTATTTTTATATTTTTATATTTTTATGTTTCATATTTTTTTTTTTAAAAATTCGAAAAAAATATGTGTGTTAAAAAAAATCTAAAAAATTTAAAAAGATAAATAAATAATTTTTTTTTTTTTTTTTTTTTTTTTTATAAATAATTAAAATTTTTATTTATAAAATTGATTATGAGCTAATAAAATAAAAAAATAGTTTTTTTTTTATTAATTTTTCTAATCTAAAATTAAAAATTCTATATCATTCTTTGATAATAAATCTTTATCATTTTTATTTGATGCTAATTTCCAATCTAATTCTTTTTCTTTTTTCTTATTCATTTGAGCTACTTTTTCTTCAATTGTATTTTTAATAATAAATCTATGTACAAAAGTTTCTTTGCTTTGACCAAAACGATGAACTCTATTAATTGCTTGAGCTTCTACACTTGGATTTAAAATTGGTTCGACAATGAATACATGAGTAGCTTCAATTAAATTTAGACCACTTGCACCCCTTTGAATTGGTAATAATAACACATTTATATTTGGATTTTTTCTAAATTGATTAATTGCACTTTCGAATGAATTTGGTTTTTTTGAAATTTTAGCAAATTCAATATCATTTTCTTTTAAAGCTCTTGAAATAATTTCTAATAAATCCATCCATTGGGAGAAAATGATAACTTTGTCAATTGATTTCGTTTTATCATTATCATTATTGTTATCTATGTTGTTATCTAATATACTGTTATCCTTATTTTCGTCCTTATTTTCATCCTTATTTTCACCCTTATTTTCATCTTTATTGTTATCTTTATTATCCACATTTGAGTTTTTTTGAATTTTTATTAAAGTTGAAACTACAGATTCAATTTTGGTACCATATGAGCCTTTAACTATACTTGGATCTACTAGTTCACCATTTTCTTTGTCAGTAGAAATAAAACTAATTTCCTCTATATTATTTCTTGACCTGCATACTGGGCATTGAATAGTTTGACAGTTTGGTACTCTTTCAATCATAAACATGATACAGTCATAGCAAAAAGAGTGACCACATAAAAGCATTACAATATTAGCACCAAGTGGCTCTTGACAAATTACACAAATAGATTCTTGATTGGGGTTTTCAACAGTATTATTAAAACTTTTAGTTGAAAAGTTTGATTTTTTTAAATTTAATAAATATAATAATTGACCATGCGAGATTTTGTATTGTTCTAATGATTTCTTTTTTTCTAGTTCAAAACGTTTGATGAATGGGTCGACTTCAATTGGGTTTAGTTTGAATAGCTCTTCATGTGGCTCTAGAATTTCTCCTTGATAACGTAAACGAATACGAACAGTGGCAGAGTCAACTTCATCAAAGCTATTTAAATAATTTTTTGATGCTGCCCAAAGCTCTGAACCTGTACTTAGTTCTCTTTTCATATTCTTTAAGGTTTTTATAAAATCTTCACCTTCTTTGGCCAATTCATCGGTTGCTTCGGTATCGATGCTTCTTAGTATTGGAATCATTAGTTTTAAAACTCTTTCAACTTCAGAGTCGGCAACAGATTCAGTGGCACCAGTAATATCTAGTTTTAATGATTCAATATCTTTTAGTTGGTTGTCGCTGAGCATTGATCTGAGGCTACTTGTTTGTTTGGTAACTCTATTCTTTTTTTGATTAAAGTTTGAAAATAATTTCTCTCTAAAGAAACTAAGGTTTTCTAAACAGATGCAATGGGTACAGATTTGATTGGCATCGGTTTTGTTGTTAATATCACGACATTCTGGGCAGTTGATTGAGGCTTGGACATCACTTTCACTAAATTGTTTAGTTAATGGTATTAGGGTTTTGATGAATGAGTTACGATATCTAAATAAATCATCCATATGACCTCTAATTAAATATGCTAAACCGTTGTAATCTCTAAACTTATTAACGAGTGAAAATTGAAATTGTGGTAGATTTTTTGGAATGAATAGCTCGGTTTCAATCTTTTTCTTTAATGTTTGGCCTGAGGTATTAGCTTCATAAGATTCAATATCTTGTAAAGCTCTTTCCCACCAAGGTAGTTTCTTCCAACTTTTTGTATTTTCATCAAATTCTTTTAACAGGTGTTCAACTTTTTCATGGAATTCATCAAATTCCTTTTGAAATTGAATCATTTGCATATTTTTCCCAATTAAATAGCCATTTCTAACTTTTTCACATTCTTTATCTAAATCTCTTTGGCCATCATTTGTAATCAAGTTTATAGTTTCATTTGTTACTAATTCTTTATTTTTGGGAAGTGTTTGCTTATTATGCTCTTGATTATCATTATTATTTTGATTTTCTGTTAAAATTTTTTGATTTTCTTTTAATATATAATTAAGATTGTGATAAACATGTAGTTCTTGGAACCAATCGACTTTGAAGTGTTTTGAGTTTGATTCAAATAGGTTTAAAGATTCTAAATATAATGATGATGCAGCATTGTAGTCATTTTTAATGATTTTCGCAGCAGCTAAGCAATTGTAGGCATGTATTAGGGATTTTTGATGGTTTTTACATTCTATTGTTGCATTTTCAATAAGTCTATCTAAAAGTTCACCCATTGTCATCATACTCTTTTGAATAGATCTAATACCGGAAGAACCTACTTGTGGATGTTGACATGCTTGACGAAGTGCTAATAATGGTGCTAAAACTTTTGAAAGGTCTTTGGCAGATACTCTATTGTTACGAATAAAATATTTGTTAAATAGTGAACGGGCTTCTGCTGAGCATTCATTTGCCTTCTTTTGATAATAATGAGATTCTACCATTGAGAAACGCAGTAATTTTGTATCACGGTCATATTGGGTTGGTAAGTTTAGTTCATCTTTGATTTGAGATTTTGAGTTTCTTAACATAATTGATTTTAAAATTGTATGGAAAAAATCAATAATGGATTGATCACCATGAACTAGGTATTTATTTAATATTAAATTGCTCCACCAGTATCTTTCTTTAAATGGTTCTACTCTGAGATATTCAATTAAGCCATGCATATCATCTAAAGATTTTTGAATTGGGGTACCTGATAAACACCAACGGTATTTGGCATCTAAATTGAATGCTAGTTTCTTGTATTTGCAACCTATACTTTCTACCATTTGGGCTTCATCCAAGCAAATTCTCCACCAATCAATACACTTCAATGAAGACTTTGGTGATTTGATTTTAATATAACGTAGTTGTTTACCGGCTGATGTTTGGTCTAAACAAATGGAGTCATCGGATAAGGTTTCATAAGTTGTTAAAACTATATCATGATTTGCCAAATCGTAGGGTGTAATTGATTCTTTATAAATTCCACGGTATACATAAACCGATAAGCCGGTAGTATGTTTAACAATTTCTTCTTGCCATTGACTAAAGATTGCCGATGGCGCAATAATTAAAGTTGCTCTCGACTCGACCAATGTTGAATCATCCCAACGATCTGGGGAGTCTACTAAATCTTCGTCAACATTGAAATCTAAAGAGGGATCTCTTTTAACTTGGGTGCAAAATGTACAAAAGTAAAATTGATTGCTTGCTTTATATCTTAGACCAACACAGCCAACAAATTGCCATCTATTGCACGACGAGCATTCCACCCATAAGCCAAAACCATGTGCTTTTTCATCTCTACCACAGCAACATGCAATAGTATCTCCATTATTGTTTTTGTACTCCACAATATCATTTTCTCTCTGAAGTTCCTGCTCTCTTTTCAATTTTCTATTTTTCTGTTCTCTGACATCTTCTTGATTAATTGGCTTTGGCCCCCTAATGACTTTTGATTCTTTATTCTCTTTTTGATGAGCCAACACTAAACCTAAAAATTCAATGGTTTTACCAATACCAGGTTCATCCGCTAAAATACCACCGTAAATTTTTTGTTCATTTAAATTGATTTTAATTGTTGACGCTGGTTCTGATGTAGTAGTGGTTGTGGTTGTGGTGTTTTTTAGTTCTTTCTTGTTGATGTTATCCAATATCATTGGGTCTAGAGATAACCCTCCGGTATATTCGTTATAAAAAAATTCGATGCCATCTATTATAAATCTATCCCATAGTGGATGAAGAATATAGTTATCATTGTTTTCGTTCTTTAGGCCCTCAAAATTAATTTTTGGATTTAGTTCTCTATTTAGCATCCAATTAACCGTTTTTAATTGGTAAGGCTTTAGTTTTGATGTCATTTGACTATTAAATAAATTTGTATCGATTTCTGTTGCATCACTTGAGATTTTAACTTTGTCATATAGTTCTTTTGCATCAAATTGGAACTCTTTTCTTTTTTTTTCATTATTGGTGCCCATATTATTGTTATCAATATTATTATTGTTTGTATTGTCTGCATTATCTGTATTGTCTTCTGTATTGTTTTCTAAATTGTCTTGAGGTTCATTCTTTTCAATATCAATTGTTGGTTTTTGATCTTGTTCAGTTGTGTCCATTTGTTCTCTTTCTTCATCTTGTTGATTTTGCTGATGCTGTTTTTCAATATCATCTTCATTAACTTCTTTTATTTTCAAAAAGTAGTTCAAAATTGATTTGAATGATTTGTCTTCTCTGGATTGATAAATTGATGTTGGGTTATTATATCCTCTAAATGATTCCCCGATTAAATAAACTTGTATAGATACCAGGCTACCAATTTGTTTATTATTATTATTATTATTATTATTGTTATTATTATTATTATTATTATTATTTTCATCATTAATATATAAAAATCTTAATTTTATATAGTTTTTGGATTGTAATAGTATTAATGAGTTAAGTACTACTGGGGGACAGTCTGCTGTAAAATTTGCGATCTTTCTTTTATTTGTTGAGTTTGTAAAAAATCCAGTTGATTTAGTGTGTAGATCATTCATATTATTGCTATTATCTGAGCTATAGATATAAATTGGTTTTTCTAAGGAGTTAAAAAAGGTTATATTAGTATAATGCTAAAGGTAAAATTAGTTATATTTTAATAATACTTTTAAAGAGTGTATCAGAAAATATCATCACTTCTCCAACAAAGATTTTTATTGGGTTTGAATTTTCAGAAGATATACTGTTTTCATTTTCATTAAAAGAAACCAATAGCCCGGCAATTGCTTTTTTTCTTCTCCCAACTGACCATTTGTTGGTTAGTGGTAATTCTTTAATATCTATATCTTCGTTTTCATCTGTTTCAGTTGTATCTTTAGTTGGTTCATTTATTGAGTTATTTTCAATATTATCATCAATATGATTTTCTGTATTGTTGATGCTATTATTATTGTTGGTTGAAATTGTTTTATTATTTAGTTCATTTTCATCAGTAGTTTTTAGTTTCTTGTTTTCATCAGTCCATGTCTTGGATTGTGTTTCTTTTTTATTTAATTTCTTTGGTTGGAATTGTTTTCTTTTTCTACTACCAATATTATTATTTATATTATCTGTATTATCTGTATTATTTGTATTATTTAAATCATTTATATTGTTTATATTACTTATTTCTGAAATATTACTTTGGGTATTATTATCATTGCTCGACATTTGGGAAATTAAAAATAATTTTTTTATTTTTCAAAAAATCGAAATTAAAATTTATTTTTATGTTTTTTTTTTTTTTTTTAAATTAGTTGTATCTGTATTTTATTACCTGTTGTGCTGAAATGCAAATGATTTTTTTTTTTTCAAAAAAATAAAAATAAAAATAAAAAAAAAAAAAAAATAAAAAAAAATTAAATAAAAATAAAAATAAAAATAAAAATAATACAAATTTTAAAATTTAAATTTATAAAAAAATATTTTTATATAAAAAAAAAATTTATAAGTAAAAAGAGGTTCGTATTTATTCATTCATTTCTATATTTTTTATTTTATTGTTTAATCTCTAATAATAATTGAAGTTTAGTTAAAAAATATTATATTAGGGTTATTTTATTATATATGCGCAATATATTTGATTCAATCAAAAAAAAATTTAATTTTTTTATTTTTATTAATAAATTAAAAAAAAAATTAAAAAATAAAAATTTAATCTAAAAAACCAAAACAAATAAAATATAAATAAATAATGGCTGATATTAAAATTGTAGCATTGGATTTAGGAGGTGTATTATTTTCAGCAGGTAAAGAATATGCAAAAAGGGAATGGAAAGAGAATGGCTATGATGTTGACTTAATTCACGATTTATTAATAAGTGATGAAGCACAACAACTAAGAAAAGGTATCATTAGTGATAACGAATTTTGGAACAATTATTTCAAAACTAAAGTTCCATCAAATTACAATGCAGAGTTAATCAAACAATGCTATTATCGTGGTTATATTTTAGACGAAGATATTGTATCTTGGATGAAAAGGATCAAGGAAAACAGCAAATCATCATCCCATCCAATTGAGTTGGTGGCTTTTAGTGGCAATATCCCATCGAGAATAAAGTATTTAAATGAAAAATATCAATTTAGAAAATTATTTGATAAAGAAGCATATTCATTCGATTGTGGTGCTACCAAGCCAGATAATTATTTCATCGAATATTTAATTAAAGTTAGCTTCCCAGAAGAAACCAAAGATGTCACAATTCAACATGGAAAACCTCTAGAGGGTGAGCAATTGGAATTGTTCAAAAAGTTAGGTAAATCAATTCTTTATTTAGATGATAGTCCAAAAGATGCCGCTCCAGCTTTGCGTTATGACATTAATCTTTTTATTTACGAAAGAGGTCATATCAATAATTTGTTTGATAAATTCCCCAAATTAAAGTTTTAAATAAAATATATTTTAACTATAAAAGAACAATCTTTTTTTATTTAATCCCATTTATTTTATTTACCCAAAAATAGGACATCATTGGATTACCATAAATATAAAAAAGCAAAATATATACATGAAACAAATGATATAAATTATTTTTTATTTATTATTATTTATATTGGTTACAATAGTTTTATATTTAATTTTTTTTTTTTATTTTTTTATTATTATATTTATTTTTATTATTATTTTATTTTTTAATTAATAAAGATTATTTTCTGGAGCTACAATATAATCTGCATCTATTTCTCTACAGGAGGTAATTGCATATAGTAATTTTTCACGCATTACATCTAATGAACTATAGTTTGGAATTGATAGTGTAAAGAAACAGGTTTGAGCTTCTGGTAAATATTCATCTTGGATTTGGTCATGGTCTTCACTGAGTCTTTGATCTTCGAAATCGTCATCATAAATTCTAGATTGATTCTTAATGAATGGATAGATTTGGAATTGAAAGTTAAATTCGCTTGGAGATGGTAATCGAGATCTACCCCAAACAAAACGAAGGAACAGTGTTTGTTCTTCAGAGGAGAATGATTCGATAATACGCCAAAACCATGCAACTCTAGCTTCTGATGGTAACAAGCCACAATAACGAGTATGTTTCTTTAAAAGTTTAATATCAAGACCTGGTATACCGCACACTCTTTGTTCTATTTCTTGCCAAGTAAAAAGATTTAAAATTTGTAATGGAATAATACTAGAGGCACCTTTAACCATTGCATCGATTTGTAAACGATATTCAGAGAGTTTGTATTGCTCTAAAAGTGATGCATATTCTGAACGATTTTCCCAAGTAACTGGTATCAATCTACCATCTGGAATTAATTCTACTTCGTTGTTATCGATTGAACGAGCGATGAATGTTTGGTCTACACAATCAGGGAAAATATCTGGAGTTAGTTTTGTTTCATTTGTAGTTGAGGTTCCTTCTAATAGTTCAATAAAGTTGGTGGTATATTTATCTATTGCTTCTAAATCTACACGCTCTACTTTTGCACAAACAAAACTTTTCCAAATGATTGATGGGAATGATAGTTCAATACAATTTTTGGTTCTAATAGCGATACCAATTAAACGACCAATATATTCATATAGTTGAAGAGCTAATGGTGAGTTTGCTGATGAGTTTGGAACTAATTTATCACGATTGAATGCAACATCGCCTTGGGCATTTTGACATGGTAGGAATAAATTCATTTCTCTACTTTGAAGATCTGTTACTATTTGGGTCATGCATTCTCTATATGGTCCACCAGCATCTCTTGCACCTTCCCTTTCTAATTTAACCTCCCATGCCCTATCATTATGTTTTAATCTTAATGGATCCATATAGCATAGTTGTCTGAATGATTGTAAAAATAAATTTTCATTTTTATAATTATATAAATAATTTTTACTTGTTATAATCGATAAGGATGATGCTGGGTTTGATTGAGGCTGTTCTGATGGTTGTTGCTGTTGTTGTGGTAGCGATTGTTGTTGGGCTGTATTGGTTGCTGTTGTTGTGGAATTGTTATTAGTATTGTTTAGTGTTGCTGCTGTTGATGTTGTTGGTACTGATGTTGCTGTTAGTGTTGATGCTCTTTGATTTCTATTGTTATTGGATATATTATTATTATTGCTATTTCTTTGATTTAAATTTGTAGTTGTTGCTTGATTATTACCAGTTCTTAAACTTGTACGATTTGGATTTAATGTTATTGTTGTATTGTTTTGATTTCTATTTTGTGGTTGTGGTTGAGGTTGTTGAATTGGTTGTGTGGTTGTTATAAGTAATGACCCATGTCTATTTAGATGAATAATTGGTCTTCTACTTAATGATTTGGTTTGAATTAAAGAGTTATTTAAAATTTCTAGTTTGCAATCATTAAATAACAAACCTCTTAAGCTACAAAGTTTATAAGATATGGACCAATCATCCGAGGCACCTTTAAGATCGATATAGTTGATAAATGATTGAATTAGGGAGTTGAAATGTTTTAAGACGACAAATCTAAGGTAAAGAATATGATGATCTTCAATTTCTGAGAGTGAGGGGAATAATGTAAGGTACTCTGGAATTAAACATTGTTCAAATATTAATTGATATGGGTTCTTTTTTTGTTTTTCGCAGATTGCATTAACCAATTTAACCAGTTCTAAATCCATTGAATGATTCCATGTGTTTCTTGAAAGCATTAGTATTTCTCTTTCGTATTTTTGATCATTTTCCCTAATAACATCATCTGAGAATTGAGGAGTAATTGTGAAACGGAAACCCCATTCTGGTTCATTTGAATCAGAGTAAAATGACCAAATAAAACGGTCACCTTGAATGAAAATTGGTTGTGTTGGGAATTCGCCAGTAAAAAAACCAAGGTCATCAGCACCAGGAGTGGATTTTGAAAACATTAAATAGTCGACATATGTTTGAGTACGTGATTTTGGATCAAATTCGATTTTTAGTGATACTGAATCTGGAATAATAATGTTACTGGTAACTCTAGCACCTGGTGGATATGGGTGTGGCGAGTCTATAACTTGCTTTGAACGAGTTTCAATAAATGATTCCTTAATAAATTCTTTACCAAATCCTTTACCTCTAAATAAATGCTCCAACACCTTGGATGTTTTAATCATTTTGCTAAACCATTGTTTATGTTCATCGCGTATATTGAAAACTGAATAGTTATAATTGCTATTAATATTAATATTTGTGTTATTAATGTTCAAGTAAAGATTGCTTGAACCATTATTACTTGAGCTATTACTACTTGATAGTTCATTGTTGCTATTGTTATTACTACTTGGTCCAATATTATTACTAGATTGATCATTTTCTGGTATGTGTTGTTGTTGCTGCTGCTGCTGTTGTTGTTGTAAATATAGTAATTGGGAACTATTAGCTTGGGATAGTACTATATGGGTTTGAATACAAATTTCAATTAGTTTTTGGAGATACTGTGACAAAATTGGTTGATTTAAAGTATTGTTTGTAAACATATTGTTGTTTCCGCATTCGATTTTGTAAAGTTTAAACATTTCATCTTTTATAAATTCAATCTTTGATGAGATTTCTTTTTGGGTGGTAATTGATAAAAGTTGGATCGGATTTTCACGAAGCTTTTGTAAGAGACGAGTAAGGAAATTAATAGCTTTTAATTTACGATCTAATGGTTGGTTGATGTTTAGATGTAATAAAAGCATATCAACTAAATCTTGAGAGAAAAAGTTTGGATAGTTTTTGAATAATTGAATATCGAGTTGAAGTACCCAGTCAACGATGAAACAAGCAAACTCGAATGATGGCTGAGGTAATAGACTAACATCCGTGGTTTTATTACGTATTGGTGTAACAGTAAATTTATAGCCCCATTCTGATCTCATTGTATCAGCGGTGAATACCATCCAAAATTGACATGAATTGATAATGGTTGGAGGGAATGATGAAAACTTTCCACTGTATGAGGCTATATGATTGGTACATGATGGATCATAAAAGAATCTTAAAACAGCTAAACCAGGTTCTGAATAGGATTTGTTATCAAAAGTGATTAGTAATGATTGGGAGCCTTCAATACGAACTATCTTTTTAATACAATAGTTAGCTGGATATGGATGTGGTGATTCTTCGTGGTGGATATGGGGTGATTCGTTAGAAGATTCTTTCAATTGAACACAAACTTCTTTTGTCAATACTTCGATTAGCGGAATTGTAGATTGGAAATTTGGTGGTTTGGATCTAAAGGATGCACTTGAAATACATGCCGAGTTTATGATTTGAATCCAATCATTTAGATCTTCTTGGCTTGAAGCTTGGAACAAATGAGTTTTGTTTGAGGTTAGAGTAATTTGGAAACAGAAATCTTTTTTTGTACTGCCACTAAAAGATATTTTATTTTGCTTTACCAGTGAAACTTGTGTAACTGAAACTATATCACGTAAATCAATAGATCCAATTGGGTTGTTATTTGTGCCTGATAAATGCAAACCATGAATTGTATTATGATGTTGATGGGTATGTTGGTCTTTATTTTGATGACCTAAACTACCACCTTGTTGGTTTTGTGGTTTATAAAATATTATTGAATCGCTTGATAATACAACATAAATTCTTTTCCACAATTTGATGATTTTTTGTTGTTTCATTAAATTACCAGTTTTTAATGGCTCGCCAAATATTAATGATTGATTAATAATATAGTTTGTGGTAGTTGCTGTTGGATGATTATTGTTTGAAATATTATTTTCATTCATCTTATTGTTTGTGATTATACTATTATTTGCTTCAATAGTATTCTTATGATTGTTTTGTAACATATTGCTGGTGTTACCACCTATAATAATGTTTGTTGAGTTATTTAAAACATTACTACCCAAAGCTGCTGTTGGGTGATAGTTATATGTTGAGTCGGGTTTATAGCTTTTCCACTTGGTTGGTGTAGAGTTTGTGGAGGATGAGCTTCCATCTTTTGATGATATTGTTGTTGTTTTGGTTGGGGTGGATGTTGCAGATGATGGGTTTGAGCGTCTACCTGATGATTGAGAGGAGGAGGATGGAACATTTCCACTATTGCCATTGTTGGTATTAAGAGAGGTTAAAGAAGGAAGATTAGAATGACTATTACTGGATACTTCTTGAATATTATCTTTATATTTTTTATGCTCTATTTCAAATAGGTTTGTTGTACTATTACTATTTTCCTTATTAATAGAAATTGATGGTTGTTTGGCACCAGTATTTGAATTGTTAACAGCTGGAGAAATATCATGATAATGTTGATTACCATTGAATGTGGAGTTACTAAAGTTGCTATTGTTATGATTATTTAAAATTAAATTTTCACTGTGGTTATGATTTTGGTTGCTATGATTAATTAAAACTAAATTATTTGATTCTTGTTTTAATAATAATGATAATTTTGATTGTAATGATTTCAAGTTTATGTAATCTTTATAATTCTTTGGGGAAACGTTTAATAGCTTGGTTATACTATTACTTGAGAGAATATAGTTTGAAGAATCATTTAAAAGTGTAGTATAGAGTGTTAATTTAAGAATATAGATTAAATTCTTTGCACCACCAAAAGATTGATATGAAACTCTGGAAGTATTTGGTAGGGTTACTAAAAGTGAAATTAAAGCTTGTCTAGAGTAGAGAATTGATAACGCCATTTCGCATGAAGTGTCCAAATGGATAAGTTGACTATGAGAGTATTTATCGATTGAAATAATTGGATTTTTAGTTGATTTCTCGTTTGGATAAGTGAAAGTTTCGTAACACATCCACCAATCAACAGTTGTTAAAGTTTCGTCATCTAAAAAAGAAACCAAGACTTGGCGATACTTTTTATCAATTGATTTAACTATACCAACATGACCAATGATATCATCCATTTCATGTACCCAATTGCTATTTCGTAGCAGTAATCTTTCTCTTTTGGAGATTAAAACATGCATACCAATTTTGATATCTGCCCATAAAACTTTTTTTCCTGGTATGCCTTCTTCTGGTAGATCATCGTCTGCTATGGCACCTTGTAAAGATTCATCTTCGTCAATTTCATCATAATCATCTTGTTGCTGTTGCTGTTGTTGTGATTGCTGTAAAATTGTATTTGATCTACCACCGCTTCTATTTCCAACGGAATAGTTTGATGAATGTGGTGATGAGTCTTCGTTATTATCATTGTTAGCTTGGGTGGTATTGTCTTCATCGTCAAAGTTGTCTAAAGATTCATCAAATTCATTTAAGGCTTCTCCAATTTCATTATCTTCTTCGAAATCAAACTCTGAAGTTAATTCTTCAACATTTTCTTCTTGATTGTTACTACTAACAGTTTTGTTACGACCTCTGCCTCTTCCTACTGAATTGAACTGATGGCCTAATGAGTTATTTAAAAATGATTTTAATGTTTTATCGTAAATTTTTTCTTTTAACAAGAATGAAAGCCTTTCCATTTTTTCAATCTTTGGTTCTTCCATAAATTGAATTGGTCTACCTAATGCAAATTCTACCAAAATTGGAATTAAACTTTCATCCAATGTATATTTGGAACATTCTGAGTATTTTAATAAACCACTAAATATTTTCATTACTCTTGATTTTATGTATAGGTAAATATTTCTAATATTATTAACTGCGTTACTAATACTCATATTTGATAATGATAGTTGTGAATCATTTGGAATATTATTTGAATTGTTTATATTTTTTGGTAAATTAAATGTAACGCTTGTTGTTGATGTGGGTAATGAGCTTGAGACAGCTGGGTTTGTTGTTGGTAATGAATTTGAGATATTATTGGACGAATTTGATAAATTTGTCGATGAATAGATAATTTCATTTAATAAACTATTTGTTAAATTAGCATTTGACATATTACTGCCATTGTTTGAAATTATTGAAACTTGATTGTTTGAGCTATTGATAATAAATGTTGATCTAGTTAATGGGGAATTTGTATTTACAGAATTGGAATTTTCATTTGTTGGTGCTGGAGTGGTTGAAGAGGATGAAGATGAAGATGGTATCGAATCCTTTGTTGGTAGTGGTGGTTTTAAAAATGTTGAGATACTTTGTAAAATTAAAGTTGGATTTGAGAAAATTCCAAAATCAATTGGTATTTCTTGAATTGGTTTTAATGCTATTCTATTATGGGTGGTTTTAATGAGTTTATCTACATTACAGTCTAATAAAACTTTGCAAAGATGATTTTGGGTACTATATTCAACTACAGTTCCGTATTCAAAACAGCCTGAGCCAATATCGACTTCAACACGAGCACCTGGCCAAATTCCATCTAAATATCCAGATATGAATGAAACTGTACTAAATACTTGGAATAAAGATTGAATATTTGTTTTGTTTGATAAAAATTTTGGAATATGGATTGTATTTTGAATTTTTGGTTGTGAGGAGTTGTTATTACCGCTGGTATCACCACTAGCATCATCACTACTATTACTATTGGCACCACTATTAGAATTGATATTATTTTGATCATTTAATATACTAATTGGTATTATGTTCGATTGAATTGTTGATGGTAATAATTTTAAACCCTCCATAACATATTTAAGTAGTGGTTGTTTCCATTGAGGTGATTTCATTAAGATTCTTAATAGAGATACAATTTCATTGACATATGATAAAGTCATAGATGGAGTTGAACGTTCGGAAAGGAATTCTAAATGATATGAAATTATTGAAGTTAAATCGTATTGGAATGGTTGTTGACCAAAGTTAACACTGACTGAACCGCCGCTTGACATAGCCACAACTGGATAAAAATCTCCCATTACATTTTTAAATGCTGTACCTAAATATTTTCCATTCTTTGTAAAAAAGACTTTACCATCTTTATGATTATAGCCACAACCAATAACATCATTTCTTGAGAATCCATTTGAATATCCTCTGCTTTGAGTTGATGTAACACGATAGCATACTTTATGGCCATCTTTACTTGAATAACCTAACCCAAATCTCCAATCTCTTAATGATCTTAGTTGATCTATTGAATTTGCTGGAAAGAGACCAATAATAATATCTTTGGTTTCAATTTCAATTTTAACTTCAAAATAAAAAAATGGAGTAGATTCTGGGATCATAATATCAGATTTAACTAATTGTAAACCTTGAATAATTTCTAAATTATTTGAAAGGATTGAAAAATTAGAATTTGAAGTAACTGTTCCAACTACATTTGTAGATTGGTTGGTTGATACATTTGGTCTTGAACCTGTTGATGTAATTGGTGTTGATGAAGTTGTATTACTTGGATTATTATTGTTTCTTGGAATACCGGATCTATTTGCAAAGTTATTGTTTTGTGGTGATATGAATGTAGCAATTTTACCATCATCAGAAAATTTAATATAGGGAGATTGTGAAATGATATCCCAAGAACATGGAAATTGTGTAGTTTTATCGAAAATTGAAAAGTATGAGTGTGGTGAATCTATTTTTGTGCTATTATAGCTACTACTTCTATAAAGATTAAAGTTATTTGAAGAAATGAAATATCGAGGATCAATATATTTTGAAATCTCTTGAATATCAGAAGAACAACCCCAATAACTAACAGCTCCTAATATTTCTAAAAGTAAAGAAAATAATGTTTTGTTTTGATTATTATTGTTATTGTTATTGTTATTGTTATTGTTATTGTTATTGTTATTGTTATTGTTATTGTTATTGTTATTGTTATTGTTGTTGTTATTACTGTTGTTATTGCTTGTATTGTTATTATTAATATTATTATTAATTAATAAATCATTGATTCCAAAATTATTGGTGATTGGTACAAACAACTTATATGGTGAAACTGATGGTAAAATTCTTCTGAATATTCTTAAAATTAATTTTCTTTGTGTTTCATCACCTACTTGAAGGATGCAATGGAATATATTAATGAATGTGACAGAGCATAGTCTTTGTTTAACATTATCAAAAGCACTTAAAATGTAAAGAAGGGATAAAGAATCGGATAGATCTACATAGGATTTCTCTACTCTATAAAGTCTTCTTGATTTAACATTTGTATTAGGTGAGGATACACCAGGAGTGTTGGTATCACCACTGCTATTTCTACCCCAATAGGTCTTATTTGTTTCTTTTAGAAAAACAAGTGATGATTCTAATTGTGTAGCCATTAAAGTAAAAAATGAATCCCTAAGTGATTCGAATTTAACTCCATTGTTACTATTGTTATTTACTGTTGGTTGTTGGGTAATATCAACACAAATTAAACCCAAAAATTTGAACAAAGCTTTTGCATTCTTTTTTAATTTTTCCCTTTCTAATTTTTCTTCCTCAACGAAACTTGAATAGATTGAATGAGAGGAGTATGGTGGATAGCCAACATCATTGTCGTACAATGACGAGGTACTATTGGAATGAAGAATACTGCCAGATGGTGATGAGCCAATACTATTTCGATGATTGTGATCTCCTGTGCTGCCCCAAATACCACCCCATATGGATTCATTGGTCATGAGATTATGTATTTTATTGAAAATATCGACTTGAGTTAACATTTCACTGTCATCTGGGGAAAAGTTTAATGTAAAAGCATCCAATGCATAAAGTTTTAAAATTGAATCGCTATTTTGATCGTTAAGGAGAGCTGAGACATCTTCCATTAAGAGCTTGAAGTTCTTTTTAACATCTCTAATTAGTTTTGTTCCACTACCATGCAAGAAATCTAAATAATGATATGGTGGACATCTTCTTTTAACCAATCCACTATTTCTAAGAGCAGGGCCTATAAAACATAAAGCTTCAGGTTTCATACTGTGGTCAGAGGCACATCTTAAAATATCGTGCATAGCTTGTAAACCAATCGAACGGGAGTATGCTCTTGATCTACGTGATATTAATATCTTTTTAATATCATTTATTTGAAGATTGTTTGATAGGACAAATTTAAATAGAATTGATGAGATCTCTTGTTTAAGTTGACTAGATGAGAGATGATTATGATGGTAATGATTTTGATTTGATAATATAATAGATGGGTCATAGTAAGATTGTAATTCTAATAAAAACATTGAATTTTCTATAATTTTATCGGCAATTTCATTATATATTGATTCTCTAAACTCTGAATGGGTTTTCATATCTACACTTCTTCTCTTTTGAGATTCAGCCATATCATCAATTTGGTGATTTGATAATTGAGATTCTTGATGTCTTTGAATGATTGTCATTCTAATTGGTAATACTGATTTCCATACATCAACTAATGGTTGTGGAGGTTTAATTTGTTGTTGATTTAAATTTTGTTGTTGCTGTTGTTTATATTGAATTATCTCTAATGTAAAATTTAAAGCCAAGTCACACAAACCTAAATGCTTAATTAGTGCTGCAATAACTGCCTGTTGAGCTGATTTAATTGTAGCTTTCCCTTTTAGCTTTTCACCAGTTACATGTTTCCACATAAAATCTGATAAATGGTTTGAATAAACTTCATTATTTCTTTTGGCTAGAGAATAACAAAATCTTTGAATTGATTTCCATGAATTAACTGTTGGGCCTGGACTATCATCGAAACTATTTATTGGAGGCGATTGTTGGGATGGTGATGAAATATCTTGAGCTTGGTTTAAATATGGCAAATCATAACTTTCATTATTATTTGAAAATAATACTGATGATACAAAATCTTCTTCAACACCGCCGCTGAACAATGGAGATTCAAGGAAATGACTGTTTTCAAGCTCCAAGCCTGTTAAAGCTTCGCCTGAAATTAAACATGATGAGAATCTACCTGCTAAACAACACATTGTTTTTTCTAAATGAGAGGACCATGGTAAACTAGTTTTATCAGAATTGGGCATGTGACCAATGATATTACAACGATATCCCCAAAAATTTGAATATGTGTTTGATGGGTTTACTGGTCCTGTAATAAATTGAAAAACTACAGTGTCGCCTGGAATTAAAATTCTTCTCTTTGGCCATTTAGTGTGAGAGAACTGCTCAAGTGGTTCTTTGCTATCTTGACTTTCAAAAATTTGAAGTACATCATCTAAACTACTAGTGTAGGAACGATCATCGAAAACCAAAGATAAAAACACTGCACCAGGAATAGATACTGGTTGACGTGTATTCATGTATGCATGGTATGGATGAGGACTTTCTGAAATCCTACTTGGACCCTCGACAAAAGATGAACGTTTTTGGAGTGGTTGTCTTCCAAGCTCAGGTCTATTTAAAAGTTTTGGTAATCTTCTATTAACACGATCTACTACACCCATTAATTGAACCAATGGTGGTAACAATTCTTTGGCCAATGAAATTCGATAAGAAAAGAGGAAAAGAGAATGGATTAGAGTTGGTAATAATGCACCGACCACTGATGATTTAAAATCTGTAAGTAAAATAGATTGATTCTTTTGACTATCCATATCCAATACACCAATTAATAATTCTTTACATTTATCCATTAAAAGTTTGGAGTATGCAACCAAAGCTTGACAAGGTGCATCATTTTCATTTACTGAATTTTCAACTCTTAAAATTAAATCCTTTTGAATTGCCAATAATAATCTCATTGCTGGTGATGATAGTGGTGGTGGGGAAGCTGAAGAGTATAACGAAAAGCCTAAATGTTGAGTTGAATCTTGTCTTGATATTTGTGGTATAATAGTTTGAGGGGGAATAGTTGCTTGAGCCTCTTGTAATAAATGTGTAATAATTGGTACAAATAAATTCATTGAATCAATATTACTATTGTTATTATTATTACTATTATTTGTAAAGTTATTTATATTAACTAAACTAAATGAACTAAACTCTGATGATAATGGAGGTAATGCAAAAAACGAAGCATTTGGGTGACTTGATAATAAAATCAATACTCTATTTAATAACATTGAATATCCTTGATCTTTATCACTTTTAAATATTTGGTTATTATTATTGTTATTATTATTATTATTATTATTATTATTACTATTACTATTGTTATTATTATTAGATAAATTCTTTTTTAAATTTGTTGGTTTTAAATTTGCAATAGTGGCAGGTAGTGTATTAGTTAATAGATTTGAATTGTCTTTATCTTTTTCCTTATCTTTTTCTTTATCTTTTTCTTTATCTTTTGGTAATCTATTTTTTGAAAATTGATCCAATAGATGAAAAATGAAATTTGCTTTGTCAAGCGAGGTTGGATAAAATAAATCTAAACCAATAGTTAAAACTTCGCAAGATTCTTCACGAATAGTTTCAAATTCGGCAATTGAGTCACGTTCTTTTTCTTTTGATGAACTTGAAGAGGCTATTTTAGATTCATTGAAACTATCAATTCCATCAATAACGAAATTTAATAATAAAATACGAAGTTTATGTAAAAAGTTTTGATCGATACATTTTAATAAATTATCTCTCGAGGCATCTTGATATATCTGTTGATTACGTTCGAGAATTCTAATATTTGAAGTTAATCTAAATAAATTAACTTTTAACAATCTTAGACAGTATATTATACAACGCAAGGTTTCAATAGTTTTAGGTGATGTAGCTGAAAATCCTCCTGGTTTTAATTGGTTGAATCTATAATGCTCTAAAATATCATATAATTGTGAGAATGTATTAAAACAAACTTCGACACTATATGGCTCTGTTAATTTATGAACATGATGAATAGATGATGTACTTGAATTTGGACCACCAGCATTATCACTCGCCGATGGCATATAGTCTACTGCTAATCGTGATAGAATTGATAAAATAGTTGATACCATCTCTTTTGGATCCATTGATGGGTCACTATCTTCTTCGCTGATAGTTGTAATTGTTGACGAAGAGGGTAATAAAATTGGTTGTGGCGTTAAATTACCACCAACAGGAATATTAACTATGGTTGTGGGTTGTTGATTGTTATTACTACTATTGTTATTATTTATATTATTAGTATTATTACTATTTATACTTGTAATATTAATATTTATTGTTGTATTATTAGTATTTGATTTTTGAACAATAGAAGGAAAATTGTGCTTTGGACCAAAACCTTCATTTCCATATTTACCAATTTCGGATTCAGAACTTGAATAATTCCAAATTACATTATTTAAATAGTCATAGAATGAAGCCAAACCAATTGGTTGATTTTCTAAACAATAGTTTCCAATTAACGAGCCATCACTTAATGAAAAAGCTCTACAAATAAAACTTTTTGAATCATAGTTGTAATCACTTCCTAAAGGTGGTGGTAAAACAACCATTAAATAATGACCATTAGTATAGAATGAACCTAGATCTAAGACATTTGGATTTAATACAAGTTCTTCATTTTGATAATGATTGACAACCTCTCCGTCAGGATAACGTAATTCTATTCTCTTGTAATGTTGGAATGATTCGAATGGATCGTACATATCGACAATAAATTGCTTATTTGAAAAATTATGAAATCTTTGTAGTGATAATAAATATAAGTATCTGCCATCTGTAAATATTGGTGATCTATTTGTATTTGAAATTAATTGATGGGTAGTGTTATTGCTGTTATGATTATTATTATTTAAAAAATTTGATGTTGGTGTCGAAATTGAGGAAGATGTTGAAGATGTTATTATATAATCATGACATTCTGGGCCGAATGGGAACGCTAAATTATTTACAGTTTGGATTGAACCTGAGCCATCTTGATTAATGTGACCAATCTCTTCTAAATTCATTGGATTTAATACAATAAGTGTAGAGTTTTCTGTGATAGATGGTGATCTATAATATAAATGATTACCAATATTTACAAGCCAACCCTTTTCTTTTGGATAAAAATCTGCATTACGAGCATAGACACGACCTTGGTGGGTACCAAAATAACCAGTACCAATTTTCGCTAAACCACAAGTATCATGTATATAAATATATTCGCTATCGGATGTAATTGTCGCTATATTATAATTTGAAGATGAGAGAAATGCCAATGAATCATCATAAATATTATCATTCCATTGAATCGGCCATGTTGCTAATAACAAGTCTCTAGAAAGTGGTGATAGTGGGAGATCTACTTTCCATTGCTCCAACTGTTTGATAGACATTGACATTCTTAATCCAATGTTTGAATTATTTGTATTATTACTGTTATTAGAATTATTTGAATTATTTACACCAATACCGCCTGAAATATTTCTACTATTATTAATACTACTATTATTATTAGATTTAACTCTACTGTTATTGGTATTATTGTTACTATTGGTTGTAGGGTTATTATTATTTGTATTATTAGTTATAATTTTATCTGGTGTAATTATTAATGACAATGATGATAAGATTGAACTTAAAGAACCTTGGCTAAGTGATAAACCAATTAAAGCCTCCATTGATTCTCTTTTTATTAATGGAGATGAACTTGATAATGCAGATAATAACCATTTATTTAAACTATCAATACAATCCTGTGGTTCCCCGGCCATTGATAATGGTGGTAATTCTTTTATCATTATATTAAATGACTTTAAAGTCGATAATGAAATCTTTTGTTCAAATACCTGCTCCTGTAATGTTGATAAAAATAATCTACATGCAATTCTAATTGAAATTGGTGGCATATGAACTTTTTTTGTTCTAGTTTTTGCTTTTGAATGATAAATTGAATCGAATAGCTATAAATATAAAATATATTAATAAATAAATATATTCAACTTATTATCCAATAAAATATTTTTATAATTACTTTTTTTCTTGCAATTTCTCTTTTTAGGGCAAGATGGATTCTTTTTAAAATACATAATCTTTTCTGTAACAATGTTGTATAGTATGCTGTATTGACATTTGATTGTGAGTATAAATCTTCCAAAACAAATGACAATGTTTTTTGATGAGTTTTATATGGATCCTCAGGTATTAAAAAAACTGGTATGCTCGATCTATTTTTATATTCTTCAATAAATTCTGAAATAGTTTGATTGTTATTGTTATTATTGCTATTATTGGTGGTAGAATTGGAGGCACCAGAGTTATTATTGCCTGATGTTAAATTTGTACTATTTCTATTTACAGTTGATGGAGAAGAATTTGTAGGTGATGGTGTAGTTGAAAGTGATAATGGCACTATTGGTGTTATAGTTGATGATGTAGAGTTTGATGATGTTGAACTAGCTGTTGTTGCAGTATTACCATTATTATTATTACTATTGTTATTATTACTATTAGTAGTAGAAGTATTATTACTACTGCTGTTATTATTTAAGTTACTATTACCGCTGTTATTAGTAACATTTGTTTTACCACTATTATTACTGTTATTACTATTACTACCATTATTTGATTGGACGCCATTTGCTTGATTCGATGCTGCTGATGTTTGGTTGATTTGTGTATGCTGTGTTTGTTGCTTTTGTTGTTGCAGTAATTGCTCTTGTAACTGTTGTTGTAGTGGTAAATTTGATCGATCTTTATATGATGAAAAAAATGAAGTCTCTTCAATCTGCTCTATTGAATTATAATGATCTATATCTTTAAAATTTGATAATGGTTTTGATTGAAGCATATAATACTTTTCGATAGTGAATGAATCATTGAATAGATTCTCTTCGGGTATACCCAACCACACTTTATCATCAACGCTATATTAAAAAACTATTATTAATAAAATATTCATTGTATACAATGCTTTAAAAAACCATTGCAATGGTTTATAATTACCTAGTTAATGCTAAAGTTCTGGGTGATAAATCAATAACTTCTTTGATGTGAGAATTTCCGTTTCCCATTTTACTATTTACTATTTATTATTTATCTATTATTTTATTATAGCTTTATAAATATACACAAAAAAAACTATGTGATGAGAAATATAAATTGTTTAAATCAATAAAAGATAAATTATAAAATTATTTTATTTTAGTTTTTTATAATAATTAAATTAATTATTTAATAAAAATGAATTTGGGAAAGTTATTTGTTGTTTTTTTTTTTTAAAAAAAAAATTATTATAATAATCAATCAATATATCACTTTTGCTGCCTAATTTTAAAATTATTAAAAAAAAATAAAAAAATGTTATAAAGAGAGTGTAATATATAATTTTTTAATTTAAATTAAAAAAAATTTTAAAAAAAAAATAAATAAGAGGTTAATGTGTTTGGGGGGAAATTTTTTGTGTGTGTGTGAAATATAATATTATTTTCTGTTTTGTTTGCCCTGTGTGGGTTCAATGTGGGTTTTTATTTATTAATAATGTGAAATAAAAGGATATATATTAAAACACAATAAAGTGTATATTATTAACTTTAATTGGGGTTTTCTTTAAAAAAATAAATAATAATAGAAATACAGATATAAATAAATATATATAAATAAATAGATTATAGAATGATAGAATATTATACAAAAACAATAGTTAAAACTTTTTTAATAAATAAATAAATAAATAAAATAAATAAATAAATAAATAAATAATACAATTTAACAAAAATTTATAAATAAAGAAAAAAACTATACTGATTTAAAAGGCATATTTATTTTTATAAGATTTTTATATAAAATAGTGTTTGTTGTATTAATATTAGCAATTATTTCGGATAATGAAAAAATATCAAATTTTTTTTTTTTTTTTTTTTTTTTTTTTTTTTTTTTTTAAATTTTTTTTTTTTTAATAATTTTTTTTAAATAAAAAATCTGAGTGTCGTGTTTGATTCAAATCTGATTGTAATTATTATAATTGTGGATATGTCATATTACAGATCAAAAGCCATTCTAAATGGTAATTTTATTATAAAATTTTCTTTTACCCAAAAAAAAAAAAAAAAATATTGAAATTTTTTATATTTGTGTTTTAAACAATAAAAATAATTAAATTATAATTTTATTGTAAAATTTTATTATCTTTGCCAAATGGTAACATTGTTTTTATCGACAATTTTGGTGAAATATTTTATTGGTAAAATTCCATTGTTATCTTTTCCATTTGTTAAAACTACATTATTCTTTGAAAGGAACATGGGTATGTCATCATCCAAACACTTTTGTAAATCGATATAAATTACCATGTCACAGCTTCCTCTCATACCTGAAATTACTTGACCTTCACCTGGTAAACCTACTGCAAAATGTATATGGTTTCTTTCCATTTTCTGTAAACCATTTTCTAAAATTGATTTTAAGTGTTTTTTATAGGTTCCATGTACCACTGATTCTACTTCATCTACAGATTCGATTCTCTTCAAGTCCACTTCATCCACATCTGAAATTGAATGACCTTGGTTGGCACATATGAAATACTTTTCGCTATTTTCACCTTCGCCTTTCTTTAAATTATATCTCTTTTTATCGTTGGTGTCTACAACCTCTTGAATATCTTTAAATGTATATTGAGAAAATAATTTATGTTTCAAAAGTTCGTCAACACTAACATATCCGTCTTTACTTATGTTTAAACCTTTGGAAAAAGAAAAGAAAAAAAGTTAAATAAATTTCTATTATAATTATTTTATTTAAAAAATGCTAACCTTCTTTAACAGCGCTATGTCTTAATATATATGATAATGTTTTTGATAGCTGTACGAGCGATTTTTTATTATTTGATGTTATACTTTGATACGACATTATATTATTGGTATTATTACTATTATTTGTTTACTAACAAGAATGTTTAAGAAAAAAAAAACTAAAAAATTTTAAATTTAAAAATTTTAAATAATTTTTTAATTTTCTTATTTATTTTTTGGGAAAAAAATAATAAAATTAAAATATTTTAATTATTTTTATTATAAAAACAATAATAATAATAAAGGAAGAAATAGATAATATTTATCCTTTTTTTATTTTTGGTATCATGATAACTAACTATAATTGTTTTTTTTATAATAATTTTTTTTATTTTTTTTTTATTTTTTTTTATTTTTTTTTTTTATTTTTTTTTTATTTTATTTAATTTTATTTAATTTTTTTTCTAAAAATTCAAAATAATAAAGCGCCCAATTGTTATATTGTACAAATAAAATAAATAAATAGATCTAGAAATAAATAAAATAAATAATCCAGTAAACCATAATTAACAAACAAATAAAAAATAAAGATTTATAAAATAACTAAATGTTGGGTCATTTGGTTCAATTATTCTTTGAAGACAAGTTTGAAGATGAATATAGTTATAATAGATATTTACCACTAGAAGAGGAACCTTATGTGGATAATCAAGTTAAAGTTTCATTGTTCAATTTCTTTTTTATTTTCACATTTATATTTTTGATTGTCGATATAATAATATCATGTTACCAACACAAAGAAAACATAAGACAAAGAGAAATTCACTTATCATCAAAATTAAATAAAATTATAAATGATTTTGAAAATCAAAATCACCAAAAGCAAAGTCAAATATCACCATCACCATCAACATCACTATCACCATCACCATCAATATCTTCAACAATTTCTTCCCCAGTAAATAAAAGATCAATTTCAGTTCCAAATTTAATTAGTCAAGCCAAAAATGAATTATTATTAAAGGAATCAAAAGAACAAATCGAAAAAGCTAAAAAGTATGATCAATCACTAGATTATCAAAAGAGTTTAGAGTTATATATTGAAGGTATTGGTAAGTTAATGTCAATTAATTCAAGTTTCAAAGATTCAAAAGAGTTTAAAAACTATATAGATTTTTATTTAAAAAGAGCAGAATATATTAAACAAGAATTAAGCAAAAATACAAATGAAAAGTTAATAATTAATTTTGAAAAATTTCAAAAAGAACATCAACAACAACAACAACAAGTGCAGCAACAACAGAGAAAATCTGGAATGTTTTCATTATTTTCAAAACCTTCAGCAACATTGTCAACAACAACAAACAAAAGTTTAGGTTTATCAACAACAGAAACAACAAATAGAGTACCATTAACAAAAAGTTCATCACAAACTCTAATTTCAAATCCACCAAGCTCAACAAATGTAAACCGAAGATCAGTTAATTTATCACCAAAATCTAACAATACCAATAATAATGTTATTAATTTAAATAATATACCAGAAATCAAAGGAGTTGATAAAGCTATGATCAGTATTATTATGAATGAGATTTTAGATAGAAAAAACCCAGTTACATGGAATGATGTTGTTGGTTTAGATAAGGTAAAACAGTCATTAATGGAATCGGTCATATTACCAAATTTACGTCCGGATGTATTCACAGGATTAAGAGCACCGCCAAGAGGTTTACTATTATTTGGGCCACCAGGAACAGGTAAATCAATGATAGCAAAAGCAGTTGCCTATGAAAGCAAAGTCACATTTTTTAGTATTTCTGCAAGTTCACTCACAAGTAAATATGTAGGTGATGGCGAAAAATTAGCCCGTGCTCTTTTCGCAGTTGCAACTCATTTCCAACCATCAATTATTTTCATTGACGAAATTGACTCATTGTTAACCGAACGTTCATCAAATGAATCAGAGGCATCAAGACGTTTAAAAACCGAAATTCTTTTACAATTTGATGGTGTTCGTACAAGTGGCAGTGAAAGAGTATTGGTTATGGGTGCTACAAATAGACCTGAAGATTTAGATGATGCTGCTCTTCGTCGTTTAGTTAAGCGTATCTATGTATGTTTACCAGAGTATGAAACTCGTTTACAAATTATCCAACATTTATTAAAAGATCAAAGACATTCACTTAGCGATGCTCAATTGGGTGAGTTGGCAAACCTTACAAATGGTTACAGTGGTTTCGATTTAACCTCTCTTTGTAAAGATGCTGCTTATGAACCAATTAGAAGATTGGGTACAGATATCAAAGATTTGGATTTAAATAAAATATCCTTAATTAGTTTTAAAGATTTTCGTAGTAGCTTAAAACAAATTAGACCTTCTGTTTCAGCTCAATCTTTAAAGTCTTATGAAAAGTGGAATTCAAAATATGGCCTAATTTAAATATTTAGACAATAAAGAAAATTTAAATAAAATTTTTAATTTAATGAAATAATTAAATTTATTTCAAAATAAATCATTTAATAAATTTTATAATTAATAGTTTAATTAAAATACAAAAATACATTTTTTTTATTTTTTTTTTTTAAAAGATGATCATTGATAAAAGCGAAGTCTAAATTATCTTTTTAAAAAATCATTCCAAACACGAATCTTTAACGTTAATACCGACCATTGATAATTGTTTGTGGTTGTTTAGCGTATTTTTCCTTGATATTTTTTAAAACTTTTATGTATTCTAGAGTGGCTTAGTCGATTTTGAGGTTAGATTCTTATAATAGATTTCTTTTTTCGTATTCTCTTGATAGTCCTATAATTCTTTACAGCTTAAGCTTCACCAATCGATCAATTCTCATTTACCATAATCAATCAATTATTCAATGAAGATTTATCGTGGATCTCCCTAGAATTTGGTGAAGGTAATCTTGTGAAGATGTTGTTTAGTGCGTTAACCCTGGATGTTCTTGAGGGTTTGCTGGTTAATGAATTATTGTCATATTGAGGTGATTTGTTTTTTATTTGTTTATTTGTTTCGTCATTAGATATTTCCTCATTATCTAATGTGTTAGTTGAATTGTTAGATTCGTTATCAGGAATAGTTTCTTTGTAATCATCATCTTGATCATTAAAGTTGACCCTATCTTTTTTGATTTATTGATCGATTATGATAATGTTGTTTTCAATTTCTTTATCGGTGGAGACCCTGGACATATCTTCATTGATTAATTGATTGATTTTGTTGTTAGGATGATTTTGATTTTGTTGCAGACTTAATCTTAATACTATAGTACGGTGATTGGAGTAGTTTTGATTTGATTGGGTTGCTTTCAATGAGGTGGGAAAAGGAGTTATTGTTTTTGTTGACTTTGATGTGAGAAAAGAAGAAGTCAATTAAGTTGAGTTGTTCATTTAACACTTTTCAATGCCTTGATTGGATGAGTTGATGTTTCCAATTACCATATGGTGATGAACTTTTTGGGTATCTCTTTCATTTAGGATTATGTTAGTTTTTTTACCAGGGGGGCAGTTTTTCCATCTTACTATTATCATGTTGTTTTGCCCGAGTTGGTCTAAGGGGTTGCATTAAGGCTGCAATATCATTGATGCGAGGGTTCGAATCCCTCAGACAACAATCTTTTTTGTTTAAAAATCTTCCGTGTGATTTTAATGTATTTTATGGGGGAGCAATGATGTACCTAGAGAAAATTCAAATAAACAGTTTAAAATCACTGCTTAATACAGAATATAATTCGTATGCAACATCAACTCTGATTTCCATTAATAAAGCAAAACAATTAAATTACAGATTAAATAGCGACCTAAATAAATATTGCGAAGAAACTTCACTCAAATATATATCAGCTAAGATAAAACAAAGATCAAATGATTACAATATTTCAGCAATCAAGGACCAAAACGGTAATATCCTTACAAGTCAAAACGATATCGAAAAAGAATTTTTATCCACTTATGAAAATCTATACTCCAGACGTATCGACGACCCAATTACCCACCAAAACATGCTCAAAAATTGGAAAATATCTAAAGATTCTAAATGGGACATTTTAGATTCTGACTTTACAAAAGAAGAAATAATTTTAGCAATAAACCAACTAAATCCAAACAAATCACCTGGTCCAGATGGAATAACCAATCAATTTTATATCACACATAAAGAAAAACTAGCACCAATGTTAGCTTCTGCTTTCAATGACACCCTAAACAACCCACACATAATTGATCTACAGTATAAAGAAGGTTTAATCATAACAATCCCAAAAAAAGGTGACCCTATGCTCATCAAAAATAGAAGGCCTATAACTCTTGCTAATTGTCTATACAAGATACAATCTAAGGTAATCAACAATAGATTACAGACTATTCTTCCTGATATAATTAACCCCAATCAGAAAGGTTTTACTGGAGGCAGAAAAATTACAGATAATACAATGACTGTAAACGAAATTATCAAATATTGTATCAAAAACAAACTACCAGGAATCATTACTTTTTATGATTTTGAGAAAGCTTTTGACTCTATATCTCATGATGCCATTTACAGAACACTATTACACATTCAAGTACCAACCAAACTAACTAATCTTATTATGCAACTACTCACCAATTCCTTTGCAAAAATAGAAATAAATGGTAAAAATACTGATAAATTTATAATAGGACGAGGAGTAAAACAAGGAGATCCTTTATCACCGACTCTTTATGTAATGGTAATAGAAGCTTTAGCTAGATCAATACTAGAAGATAAATCAATAATTGGACTTCCTTTAGACAACACAAACAGAAGAATCAAATTTCAAGGTTTTGCAGATGATTCATCATCAATGGTTCATAACAACGACCAACTTAATTTGGTACTTCAACACTTCAATCAATTTTGCACAGCAACATCATCAAAACTAAATATAGATAAATCAGTTTCAATAACAATCAACAACCCAGACACAACAAATTCAGTTATTCCAATATCAAATAAACCAGAAAGATATTTAGGTTACTACTTCACAGGTACCGGAATCCATAGAAAACTACCAGAAATACTGAATTCTATAAGATCCTCGTTATCATTATAGAAAACAACAAGTAACTCAATTAAAACAAAAGTAAACATCCTCAAATCCTTTGCACTATCAAGAATATCATATTACTCGTATATTGAAGAATTCAACGATGATGAAATTAAAGAAATCAATAAAATTGCAGATTGGTTCCTATCAGCACCTAACAATAAAAGTCCAAATGGTTTTAAAGTCTTCAAATTAATGAGCTCTAAAAGAGCAAATTATCCTATGGATCAAGGAGGTTGGAATCTTTGGAATATCAAAAACAAACAAAAAGCACAAAGATTATGGATGATAAATCAAATAATCAATAAAATTGAAACTAACAAAATAGAATCAGAATATCAACACAGTTGGAAACATCAAATATCAACCAAAACAATAACTTCAGATTACCTATTTAAAAACTACAATGATTGGATACAAATAAAAGTTAAAAAAGGACTACTAGACGGGTTAAAATCCATTAAAAATAAAGACGGCAAACCTCTTTCTTTAGCAGAATGGTATTCGGAAATAAACAATCTCAACAGCTTTACACCCAAAACAGAATTCCAACAATGTCTTCAACTTACAGGTTATAGCTATATCAACCTATTCAATAATATACTTAATATTAAAGATCCAAAATCAAGAAACACTCTATTCAAATTCCAAACAAGATGCTTACCCATCAACTTCATTCACAACAAACCATGTAGACTATGTAATGAAAATCTTAATAATGATCCATATGGTCATCTATTTTTCAAATGTAAAAAAACTCTGAAATTCATCAACTTCAATAAACTAAAATCATTTATATTCATTACTTAGGGAAGGGGCCTCAATTGGTCACTGGACATAACAAGATCAAGAAGGAATATATCAATAAAAAATATTACATACAAAATCCCAGAAGGTCGCAAATCCGATGGAGAAATAAATATGGATTACAACAACACCAGATTCCACAAATCACACTTCCAATGGAACTATAAAGCAATAGATTTCGACTTAACTAGATGTTTCGCTTATAGAAATGCCATAGCCCTGGTATTTCATCATGTTTGGATTTGGTTATGTAAAGAATTATATGACGATCAAGAAAATACAATAAAAGAACTCGATTATAAGAATCTAACCTCAAAATGGACTAAACTAGCTACTTTGGAATACTTAAAAGGTTTAAAAAACATCAAGGAAAGACACGCTAAACAACCACAAACAATTAGCAACATCAATGAAGAATATAGAAAATTCAAAAGAAAAATAGCAAGAGCATACTTCATCAGCATCAAATCTTTACCAAATATCAACAGTTTAGAATATTTTCTTTAAATACTTTATAAAAAAACATAAATAAAATTTTACTGATTAATTAAGAGCATTTGCTTTTTATTATCTTCACTTTTAAAAAAAAAAAAAAAAAAAAAAAAAAAAAAAATTATTGTTTGCTTAGTTCTAAAAAACACGGAGAGAACTTTTATATGAACAGTTCCAGTACTTCTGATATGTTTTAATTGAAATGACAACTTAATTTAAGAAACTTGATCTTCAATCAGATAACTATATATTAAATATTTTTGATATAACCATAGGGACTGTACGTACAATTATTTCTTTATAAAACTATTCATTTATATCGCCTTTGCCTGGCCAGGACAAAATAGATATTCTATAAATAGTTGATTATATTGAAATATTGTAACTTTGTTATAATATATAATATTGTAAATCATGATTATTATTATTTTGATTAATTTTATATAGGATATTATTACTTCTACAGGTTAAACTATCTCTGATGGAGCTGACTGTTCGGTATTTAGGTATATTTAAAGTTCTGAAAAAATTTGATCTAACTTAGGACGCAAGTATATAGCCAGAAAATACAATTTTGATAATTCTTTCTTTAAAAACTTGGTATACAAAGTTTAATTAATTTGGAAAATTCGACATAAAATAACTTTCTCAATTGATTGCAAAAGTTTTATGTTTCATCTTATAAACATAACCCCCATAGTCTATAAGAACGGAATTCGTTGAGTTTGAACATAAAATTGCACTTGACCAATATTTGATAATAACTTGATTTGAGTTTAGATGCTTTGCTTGATCTTAAAAGATTATGAAAGAGAAGAATTATATTTAATTGTAACTGACTGGCTTGGGTAAAAATAGACCATTATCACTTGTTTATATATACTATAGACAATAATAAATACTATAAATCCATTTTAATCGATTCTTTTGGCTTTTGGTCAACATATACTTATTCTAAGGATAACTTGATGAATTGGATACATATTGTAAAACCTATTTTTAAATAAATAATAAAAATTAATTAATAAATATTAGTGTTTTCAGATTCCTAATTTCATCAATATTCATTTTAAATATTTGGTTTGTTTATTTAATGTCCAAATACTTACTATGTGAAAAAACTATCAAGGTGTGATTATTGAAAAATTATAAAATTTAAATGAAAAAAAATTACTTTGGTGTGGTTATTGAGAAAAAATGAGTTGGCTATTTGGAAATGGCATTGAATTTAGTTGAAAGTGTTGAAAATTGTTTTGACCCCTTTGTTGATTATATATTGCGTATATCGATTAATTATATGGAACCCATTCTCCGGTCTCTTCATCATACTCCTCTACAGATGGTTGTTCTCCATTGAAATTTGCACCATTAGATTGTGATTCTGAATAATTGTGTGATTGTGGTGCACCAGAAAAAGAATGACGGGATTCATTTTTATTGAAAGTTGGGTAGTTTGATGATTCCCTTTTACAAGTATGATTTGTATCATTTTGAGAATCTGGTGGAGAAGTTGCTGATTCTGGAGGAGCATTTGGTGATTGTTCTTTATTTAAAGAATGACGAGATTCTTTTTGGTTGAAAGTTGGGTAGACGGATGGTTCTCTATTTTGTATATGATCTGTTTCTGTATAGTTGGATGATTGTGGTTCATCAGAAAAAGAATGACGGGCTTCGTTTTTATTGAATGTTGGGTAATTAGATGTTTCTCTTTCTGATTCTGGTTGATCATATGACTTTTTTTCATAATTTGATGGTTCATTAATAATTGGTGGGTCATTGTATGATTCTGGTTTACTTTCAAAATTAAATTGGTTTTGATTTTGTAATTCTTGTCTTCTTAGATATAGCAATTCTTCAATTGCTTGATGTTTTTTTTGTGCTTGTTCTTGAGCTCTTTTTTCGGCAATACATTCATCATAGTGTGGTGGACAAGAATATTGTGATGCATTTGATTGATAATTGCCATTTCCATTGTTGTTGTAGTTGTTGCCATTATTGAAGTTGTTGTTGCCATATTTGTTATTGAAATAATATTTTATTAAAACCATACCAAGTAAGAAGGAAATAACCAATGTGATAATGGTTTGAAAAAATAAAACAACATAGTCGTTCATTTTTTTTTAAAGGTAGTTTTTTATTTAATCAATATAAAAAATTATTGTTATTATTAATTATTATTATTATTGATAATTTTAATAAAAAAATAAATGAATATAATTATTTGTATATTGACAAAACGAAAAAAAAAAAAACTAATTTTCCCCCACATCCACAAAAAAAAAAAAAAATTTTAAATTAAAAAAAAATGAAAAAAAAATAATTTTTAAAAAATAAAAAAAAATAAATGGGGTTTCTGTTTTTATTTAAAAAAAAAGAAATTTCAAATTTTCTACAAAAAAAAATAAGATATGGTGCACATCATTATTAAAAAATTATAACAATAGTTTTTAATTAATATACACACTATAGATTTTATTAATAGTCATTCATTAAGAAATTATCATCAATATTCAATTTAATTTGTTAATCAATTTAAATCATTTTATTAAAATAATTTTATAATTGTAATTTATCAAGTATTGTGTTAAACTAACTTTGGTTCCCCTACAATGCAAGTGTAACTAAATAAAAGTATTTACGGTATAGGTTTACGTAACTTCACAATCATCTTATTTTGAAGTCCAACAAACACTCTCGCCAAATTTAGAAGAGCAAGGTGAAAACAATTTCTGCCAAAGGTACAAATATAGAAAAATTAATAATGATTTATAATAATACAATCATCATTGAATAATATACAAAAGAAAAAAAATAAATATCTTTTTTTTTATTATTATTTAAATGAATATTCTTTATTTTATTTTTTATTTTTTTATTTATTATTTATTTTTTTATTTATTTTATTATTTATTATTCGAATTTTATTAAATGGAAATTCTTTCAGATTTTAACAAAATGAAATGATTTGAAATTAATCGATTTTCGATAATGCAATTGTTATTTTCAAAGTCGAGATTTGAAAGAGCATCAAAGTATTTACTGAAAAGGATCTCAGTGGTTAATAATGCTTCATCTAAACCTTTTTGAGTGTGAAATAAACGGGTGACTTCCTCAGATAGTTTCTACTGTGCGGTTCAAAGGTGCGGGTTTGGTTGTAATACAATTTCTGATATTTTGTTTGGTGGGAGATATTGGAAAAGTTTTAAAAGTTTCTCTATAAAATCTTCACTTAAAACTGTTCAATCTGTTGATTTGCCACTTGAATAACCAATATTAATAGGTTCATCTAATAGTAAAGTTTTAATGTTTGATATTTGAACATCGAAAAATTTAATAAATTAATATTATATATCCTTTGTTTGTTACTTTTTTCTGAGATCAATTTTAAAATTAGTTTTTTAATAGGTGTCATTTAAAAATCCTTTTGTACAAAATTATTATTATTATTATTATAATAATAATAAAAAAAAACAATTAGTTTATATATTTGATAAAATTAATCAAAATTATTTTAGTTTCTTAAAAAATTTTATTATTTACAAATAAATATTTTATTTTTAATTATATAATTAAATTTTTTTTTTTTGCTGATTATAAAGTTTAAATTTACATTTTTAAATGTATATATATATATATATATAGAAAAAAAAAAATTAAATAATTAATTTTTTATAATTCTGAAGTGGCAATATTTGCCAAACCAAACAATGAATCCATTTGGTTATCTAATAGGCCAAAAGTATCAATCGAAGAGGCTGATGATAGTAAAGCTAAGCCATTTTCTTTTGAGGAATTATTATTATAGTTTTTAATTGATATTAAACTTGAGGTTAAATCTAATTTTTTAGTATTGTTAATTTCATCAATATATTCTGTATCAATTAATTCAATTTCATCATTAACAATACCAAGTAATGGTGATTGAAAAATTGCAGAGGAAGACGTTGAAAACTCTTTGGTTGGTGACATAGATGGAACGTAATCATAGCTTTCTGATAGCATTTTCCTTTTTGGAGATTTATTTTTATTGTTTGATTTATTATTTGATTTTTTTTTTTTTGGTTTTTCTTCAAAATAATCTTCATCAGATTCAATTTCATCCAACAATGAATCCATTGGTGTAATTGGGGAGGATATTTGGGAGCTACTAGGGGTATAGGATTCAGGAGATGAGGTAGTGGTGGTGGTAGTTGTATTTGATGATTTGTTCAATTGAATATTATTTTGAGTTTTGTTCAAACTGTTTCTTTGTGATCTTCTAGTTGGTAACGATGGTAATGAAACCGAACGTGGTATAGGAGATGATGTAACAGATGAGGATGGTGTTGATGATGTTGATGATGTTGATGATGTTGATGTTGATAGTGATGATGAGGATTGGTTTAAACTGTTACTATTATGAACAGTTTTTTTTTTTTTTTTACTATGTGTTTCCTCTTGGTCACTATCATAATAATAAACTGGTATATTTTCTGTTGGATAATAATATTCATTTTTAATTATATTATTTTTTATTAAATATCCAACAGCACCGAATAAAATGGTTATTGAAGCAAGATAATTAGTTGGGTTATTGGTCCATTTTTCTATTAATTCTTTAAAATTTGGGTTTTTGGTAAATGTTTTATCTTCTGATTCACTTGAATTTTGTGTAAGGAAAATCTTCATTGAAGTACATTGTTCCCATAATCTTTTTTTTTGAATCTTTGGTAATTTGCTTAGGTTTGGCACCCATGATCTGATTATTGTTAATTGTTGTAAGCACCCATAAAAAGAGAAACTCCAAACGGACTTTTCTTCAAGAAGCTTTGGCATGTCATTTGCTACTGGGCTTTCTGGGGATTCAACAAATATGTTTTGTTTTGGTAATTCTAAATTTTGCAATAAACTTAGACATGATGATAAAGAGTGGGTATTAATAGATTTTAAAATATTTTCTAAAATATTTTCACTTTGCATTTTTTAATTTAATATTTTATTTTTATAGTCAATAAAAAAAATAAAAAAAATTTATATATTATAAAAATTATAAATGTTATATTTGTAAAAATAGATATTTATTTAATTTTTTTTTTTAGTAATATTTATTTGATTTTTTTTTTTTTTTTTTGATTATATATATAAATATTGATTTTTTAATTTTTTTTTATTTATATTTAAATATTATATATATATATTTATTTATTTATTTGTTTTTACTTATTGTATATGAACAACAATAGTAAAAAAGAGTTTAATATTTAAATCTAAAGTAATACAACCAAAAAAAATTTAAAATTTAAAAAAAAAATTTTAAAATTTAAAATTATTATTATTTTTATTATTTTTGATATATATATAATTATATTATTATCATTTTTAATTGTAAAAATGAAAATATATTATTAATAAAAAAAATCATAATGATATACACATAAAACATTCTTTCTTCACTCCTCCTTTTAAAATTTTCAATTTTTAACACCCACACACAAAACTATCACCAACACACACATACAGGAACACATACATTAAAACCCACTCACACATAATATATATTTTCAACACCCATCCCCTCCCACACATTAACACATAAATACAATAAAACTCAAACACATTCAAATTTATTTTTGCAACACTCATATAAAAAAAAAAAGTGTTATATTTTTTACCTTTCTATATTATTCAAGTAAACACCAAAAAAGTTATTTTCCAATTAAATCTATTTTTATGAAGGTGAAACATTTAGATTTTTTTTTTTTGAATGTGATGTTAATATGAACATTTTTTTTTGAAAGGGCATTTTAAGTTGTTTTTTTTTTTTAAGTTGTTTTTTTTTTTAAGTTGTTTTTTTTTTTTTAGGTGAAAAATTAAAACTCTAATAATAATTAAGTTTTAACACATTTTTATCACTCTATTTTAAATAAAAATGGTATATTAAAATTTTAAATAGATATATAAGTCATTTATTAAAAATATTTATCATAATATCAACACACCAAATACCACACCTTTTTTTCCTTTGATTGTATTTTTAGGAACAAAAAAATCTCTTTGAAATCTTTTTTAAAAATAAAAAAAAAGAAAAATTTATATTATATTTTTTTTGTGATTTTTTTTTTGAAAAAATTTTAACCACCAAAATCATCCAAATTTAATTTTTTCACAAAAGTGGGAATTTTCTTTTTCTTTTTATTTTTTTTTTTTTTTTTTAATTTACACACCCTCATATTCGATACACACCAATATTTAAATTTATATATAAAAAGTTTATATTTTGTAGTTATATCACATAGTAATAAACCTAAATTTGTTTTTGTGTGTTGAGTGGTTATTTTTTTTTTTTGTGGTTATAATCAAATAATAATAAAAATAATAATTACTCGCTATTAAAAATAATAAAAAGTAATAAAAAAAATATAATGTAATTTTTTAAATACCTTATATATCTTTACAATTTTATCAAATTCAAGGATTTTTTTTTTTTTTCATTTTTTTTTATATTGCATTATTTTTAGACACATACACTAAACACTCAACACTAAATAATTACACATATCACATAAAACCAAAAAATAATAGTATAGAAAAAAAATACAATAATAATTATAACAATAATAGTATTATTTATTTTAAAATGATTGAAAATGATAATGTGGATAATATAATCAAATTTTTAAATAAAAAAACAAAATTATCACTCCACTTACAAAATAAAAAAAAGTTAATAAAATTTATCGATAACTATTACAATAATCATGAAAGCGGAACTTTCTATTCAACAATATTCGAAAAAGATGAATACTGCCATTTAAATAGTCATCAAAAAGAAATAATAAAGGTTTTAATAGATGATATCATAGTTCCACCAAAATCACTATTATCAGAAAATGCCACTATAAGAAACTCCTTCATTAAATCACCTTCGTTTAATCATAATATTTTTATACCACTTGACTATAACAATAATAAATTAGTTTTTTTTAAAGAACTTTTATTTAATTCAGCAAATGACTATAATAATTTAAAACCAATCTATAATACTATTTCAAATTTAGAATTAAATAATAATAAGTTTAAAAATTTAATAATAAATGATTTAAATAATATTCTATTAAATAATGAAGTAAGTATTATTTAATTTATTTTATTTTTTTAAAAAAAATATACTAATTTATATTTAAAGAATTTTTTTTTTGAAATTTCAAATTATTTATTTGAAGAAGAATCGATTTTACTATATCCCGATTTAAACTTTAGAACTATTCAAAAATCAAACGCTTATGAATTGTTAGCTTTTAATCATATAGAGTCTCAGTATAATAGAATAAATGAAAATAATTTAAGTAATAGTATAATTTTAACAGATAATGAAGAAAATAATAATCAATTTATATTTAAATTAGATAACGAATCACATTTAATAAACCAATTGAAAGAAGATGCAACATTTATATTTTATAATAATTTATTTAATAATAATAATAATTTTATAAAAAAATTCAATTTATTTTCAATTTCAATTGTCCCAAATAATACAAACAATACCAATATTAACAATAATAATAATAATAAAAAATCAATAGAATCAAATAATTTTTATTTTCAAGGCTCGAATTATATAAGTGGTAAAACTTTACAACAATATATTAATGATAAAAACCCAATTGAAAAAATAAATAGAAATAGTTTTAGTGGTCATTTTATTTCATCAGTTTTATTATTACAAACCAACTATCAACCAGAAAATTTAATAATTGATAATAGTTTTAAAATCATTGGTATAGATAATGACTCATGTTTAGAAAACAATGAAATTATAATAAAGAATTTTATTTCATCAAGTTTAAATAGTTCTAGATCAGAATTAAACTCAACTACAATGTATTTCTTTCAAAATAAAAACATATTATTTACATTGGAATCTTTAATGAACGAGCCCTTAGAAGAAAATATAAGAAATAAAATTACCCAAATCAATCCCTATATTTTTATGTTCAATTTTTTTAATCAATTATTAGAAAAAGAAAAATATTATGATGAATTTATATACCTGTCACTATTTTCGCTATCAAACTCTCAAATACCTCTAAAAGCTTCCGCCTATACGCCGATTGACAAGAATCAAAAAAAAGAAGAAATTAAAGAAAACCTTGGTTTAAATTTCAAAGTATCAAATAGATTTTTAAAGGATATGCTTCAAAGATTTAATATATTGGTACAATTTGTGAAAGAGAATCCATTAGCAACCCATTATGAAATATTAGAAATCTTGTTGCCAATTTCTTATAGAACCTATAAAGCTTTATTAAAAATAAAAGAGAATCCATTAAGCCAGATTCAATATTTAAATAGTGATTTTGATTTTCAATCTTTATTACTGGAGAACAATGAAGACCCAGATGAAACAAATATTCAAAAACTATTCTCGCTGCTAAATCAAAAACCGGAAATAGTACAATCACAACAATCACTTTCATCACTAATAAATAATATTGACATTCACGATTCAATTTTCAGCTCCATTACAACCCTAATAGAAATAGTAGATTTATCTAGTTTTGTAAATGACTATTTAAATTACAAAAAATCAAATAAAAAAGATAATCAAAAAAGAGGTAATGAATTATTAAAATGGGTAGAAATGGTCATAATGTTTCTTTGTGATAATATTGCAAATAAAAAAACACCACATATTTTTCAAATTCACGAATCTTGGTACACTCTAAAGAGAATAATACTACAAATAATTGTAGAACAAGGTGCAACTGGTATTATAATATATGAATTTATCAATTTAGTAAAGATATCAGAAAAAGACATTAACGAAAACGTAGAAAATCATGGCTCTAATGATTCAATTTTACATTGTGCAATTGAGGCAAATAATCCAACCCTTTTAGATCAATTGGAAAAGTTAATTGAATTTGGTGCAAATAGAGAAATTATTAAAAATTATACCATTTTAGAATTAGCTGCTATTAAAAAAAACTATCAACTATTTAAAAAACTTGTCGAATTAGGTTGTGGAAAAGATACGTCTTTCCATAATAAAACCATTATTGAATTTTATAAATCATTTACTATCCAAGAAAAAGAAGATTTCAAAAGCACTTTTCCAAAACTATTATACCTTAATCCAAGATTAGCCTGGTCCATATCATTAGAAGTACTTTTACCTCAATGCGAAAACATTAATGATAACAATACATCAAACGATATTATCGTCAAAACTACAAATTATCACAATCGAATTATTCCAAATCATTTAAATCATCAATTATTTGAAAAGAACGGCTCGATTAAAAAAACAAATGAATATGGCTCAAGAGCAGTACCTCATTTAGAAGAGTTTGGTGTTAGAATTTATTTTAAATTTGAACCCTTGTTCCCTGGTATAGAAACTGCAGTCATTAATTTGACCGAAATGATTTTTGGTTATCTTTCTCCTTATTGTGAACTAGCATCGATCAATGACGAACCGGTATTATTAATTCAACAGGTTGAAGGTGTACCACTTTACAATGTTTTATTAGATGCTCCTGAAATGGTAAATGGTTTAGATGGATCAAATGTTTCAAAACTATTGGTAATGGCAATGCTAATATCACCATCAGATGGAAATTTAGGCAATTATATTTTCTCAAAAATACCTTTTCAAGACGGTTATAGAATTCTCAGTATAGATAATGACCAAGCATTTATGCCAGGTGTATCGATACCATTAAAGAATGGAATATCACATAACAAAGCTTCATTATTTTGTCAAACAGTGTTGTTTCTTCTTGATCAAATGAATGATCCCATTCATCAAGATGTCATAGACTCAATCACGAAAATCGAGAATCTTTTTGAAGTTTTTAAATGTTGGCTCGAAAGTTTAATTGTACATAACGGTGCATCCATTAAACACTTTAATGATTATTATATAAAAAACTCGAACGAAAACAAAACAATTATTGGTGTTCCATTTTCAGCAGGTACGATCGAACAACTATTCACAAAACTAATTCGAATTCAAAATGCACTTTCAAAAAAGAAACATTTAACTCATATTCAGCTTTTAGATATAATAGAACCACAGGTTTCAGATCGTTACAAGAAACTCCTTAATAAGAAAATACCAATTTTAAACAAATACCAAATACTTTATAATTTAAATGATAATGACCATAAAAGAGCCTATACATCATCCATTCATACATCAATGCATATTATGGAATCAAGAGAAATTAAAAATATTTGCAACATCCAAAATGATATTTTAAATGGTAGAGCATATGGACCATCCCAAGCATTCCTTGAAATAGAAAAAACCCAATCAAGTTACAAATCGATCCATAACTTTTTCAATATATTAGAACATGAAGAAAATCAACAACAAATATTAAATGGTGGTGAAAAATCAGCTGTTGGAGGTGAAAAAGAAAATTCAAAGAAAAATTTACTAAATTTTACTATTCTATTTCCAAAGTCATTATCGAAAGAATCTTTAAAAATTTCAGCAAGTTTAGTAGAAAAAATTATGAAACTTATTAAATTTCAAACTCTATCAATTCAAAAACAAAATTATCTTTTTGATATCATCCGTGATAAAGAAATTAGATATCTATCAATTGTAAATAGTAAAGCATTAGAAATTCAAACCATTAAATCATTTAATTTAACTCAAATCATTAAAATCGATTTAACAAATTGTGAAAATTTACAGTCGCTCTCTGGTGGAATGTTTAATATGAAGGACTTGGCTATACCACTATTAACACATCTTAAAGTAGATAAATGCTCAAATCTAATAGATATAAGATTATACGCTCCATATCTAATTAAACTAAGTGCTCGTTATTGTGTAAATCTTGCAAAAATCGACTTAAAACATTCAGTTTCAAAACTATCACAAATCAATTTAGAAGGTACTTTGAAAAGTAGAATGTTGATGGATACACTATGGAAATATAAAAAGTTAAAGAAATTAAATATCAGTGGTTGCAATTTCGAAAAGTTTTACTCCAACAAAAATAGCAAATATTTATCATTTGTAGATTTCGATTATATCTCACATAGAGGTCTCAAGGATAATTATGAAAGCAATGATTTTTTAACAATAAACACAATAGAACTATCAAATATCGAAGTATATTTACCAAATCTAAAGGAGTTAGTAGCAAAGAATTGTTTAAATATTAAAAATTTAAAACTTTTTTTACCAAGATGCAAAAAAATCGATATCGATGAAAGTAATATCACTAAAATTTCAGGCTATGCACCATTGTTAGAACAAGTTTTAACCAAAGCATCTGAAAATCATACAATTCAATATGTCTACACTGATATTCATCTAATGAATAAATTAAATTCAAAGGTGGTTCATCTTTTCACAAACAATCATTTAGTAATGGAAACATTATTCAAACAAGGTCAAATGAAACCACAATATGTCGAAAAATTAACAAACCAATACAACTTTAATAACAAAATATATAATCATAAATTCAAATTTAAAATTACAAATGACTTTAATATAATTAAAAAGAAATCATGGCTATTCTCCACTATAGTATTTTTATTAGAATTCAATTTTAACAACAACTCCAACTATTCAAACATTATTAAACAACATTTAATATCAAATTTAGTCCAAATACCAAATTTACAACCAAATTTAGAAATTTTAGTGTTTTTTATTGTTAAAAATTATCATGGTACAGAATGTATAGAATCATTATTAAAAGATGAATTTGAAAAGTTAAAAGAAGAGTTCAAATTAAAAACAACAACCAAAACAATAGAATTTATTGGAAAAAATAAAAAACCCTCAATCTTTTTAGATTTAATATCGGAACAAATTAATAAAAACAATTTAGATATCAGAAAACCAATTCAAAATAATATTAAAACCTTTATATTTAAAGAAAATACTGATCAATATGCAATCAACAATTTTAAAATTCAATTTTTCAAACGTGAATTTGATATTACAGAAATATTAGATCATCTAAACAACATAGAGATTTCAAATTTATTTTCAAATTTTTTTAATTTTGATAATAATAATTCCCCACAACTCTTTAAATCTGGCTCAACAACATCATTAACATCTTCATCTTCAACATCTTCATTATCGTCACTATCTTCCTCTTCTTCATCAACTCCAACAGCAGGATCGAACAAAGAGTATTTATTAAATCAAAAATTCTTTTTAAATAACCTTCAAAATTTATTTTTAATATTAAGAATAGAACAAAATGAACCTTTTATTAAATGGTTTGAAAAAGAAATAGGTTTTGAATATATAAATTTATTTTCTCCATTCAACTCAAATTTATTATTATGTAGATGTTGTGAGTCTGGAAATTTAGAAATTCTAAAATGGTATCTTTCAAATTACAATTTAAAAAATCTTATAGATTTTAAAGATATATATGATAAATCAATTTTGGACTATGCAAATGATAACCCAATAATTTTAAATTTTTTAAATAATTATAATAATAATAATTCAAATAATAACAACAATGATAGTAATAGAAACAGTAATAATGATATTAATATAGATAAAAATGATTTTATTAATATTATAAAATAAAGTAAAATAAATATTATATTTTAATTTTTTAAAAACATCTATTTTAAAATTTTTCGAATGTTATATATAAAAATAAATTTTTTTCATTTATTATACAAAGAAAACACTTTTCACTTTAGTTTTTTTTAATTTTACTTTTTTTTTCTTTATAAATTTTTTTTTTTTATAAATATTTTTTAAATATATGGTATAATAAAGATAATTTTTATTTTTTTTAATTAAAATTTTCTTTTTTTTTTTTTTTTTTTTAATTTTTTTTTTATTATTACAAAATAACTATATTCTCTTTATATAAATACATTATTATGAAAACTCTTTATTATTTCAAAATCAATTTTCATTGATAAAAAAATAATATAATTACAATTTAAAGAAATTTTCAATTCTATTTATAAATTTAATAAATAATCATATTTTGTAAAATAATTTTTTTTTATAATTCATATAAATATATTTCTATAGCAATACAAAAAGATATTATTACATTCACACACCCCCTATATTTAACACACATACACACAAGCTCTTAATCCAATAAATAACTCATAAAAATCACACACAAGCACACTATAATTTACCCCACCCCCATATTAAAAAACACCACCATACTAATTTTCAAAATAGTAAAAATATAATAGTAGTAATGAAATTCATATTAATAGTTGAAAAATATTAATAAATAATTTATAAATAAAGTTGTAAAATCAAAAAATAATTTATATATAATTAAATCCTTTTATTGTTGTATATTATTATTTAATTAATTATTTTTTTTTAATATTGCAAAAAATTAATTTTCATATTAAAAAAAAAAAAAAAAAAAATAGTATATTTACCAAATAATTTCTTTAACAATATATTTTATTTTTATTCAATATATATTATAATTAATCTATTCCTAACATTATTTTCAATTTTAATAGAGTAAGTGTTAATTATAATTTTAAAAAAATGGATAATAATAAATATTAATTTTTTTTTTTAAAAAAAATCATCAAATTAACAGATAAAATAAAAAAATAAAAAAATGAGATTATATTTAACACTATTATTAATTTTATTTGTAAATGGTGTTTTTTCAAAAGTACCAACTGTAGTTCAAGTAAATAGACAACCAATTTCACTTTTTGCACATCCAGGAGATGAATTAGTATTTATTTCTGCTGATAATCAAAGACACGAATTACTTTTTAAGAGTGGGGATAACTCATTTAGAGTTATTGTTGATAAAAATAAAAATGAAAAAGTAAATCTCAGCCAATTAGAAGAATATGAAATCACTGATCTCTCATTCGAAAATCAAGTCAAGGGTGCTCTCAAAGTAAGAGATCATGGTTCACGTAAATCAGTTAAATCTACTGAACAATGGTATTCAAATGATGCTAAAGCACAAAAGAGCAAATTTGAAAATCAAAACTTGGCTGAAGAAGCTGCTAAACCAAAAGAAGATGTTAAAGATGCCAATGCCGCCAAACCAAAACAAGATGTTAAAGATGCCAACGCTGCCAAACCAAAACAAGATGTTAAAGATGCTAATGCTGCTAAACCAAAACAAGATGCTAAAGCTCCAAAACAAGATGCCAATGCTGCTAAACCAAAAGCTAAAGAAATTGATAACGAAGCTAAAGAGGAAACTAAAGCTGACACCAAATCCAATGCTGCCAAAGAAAATAATGAAGGTAACAGTGGTACAATGTTAACAATCAATGCTTTAATTGTAGTAGCTTCGCTTTGCTCTGCACTTTTAATTTAAAAGAAAAAAAAAAGTATATGTGTTTTAAATTATTATAAAGGAAAAAAAAAAAAAAATAAATAAAATTAGAGTAACATTACAAAAAAAATAAATAATAAATAAAACAAATATATATAATTTTATTTTATTTCATTCTATTTTATTTTGCTTATTTTATTTTATTTTAAGGATAATTTTTTAACCTCTTCATAAAGGAAAATAGAAATCATTGAATAAGGAGCTGAGGTTAATAGTGATGGGACCAAACCCTTCCAAAGTGCTCTTACACCTTCCTTTTTAATTGTACTTTTAATTATTGTATAAAAATTTGGTCTTTCGTTTGGACCAAATGAACCAGTTTGTAAACGAGTTTTAGCTACATCCAATGGATTTGTAATTGTAGTTGCAAATACTGCTGCAAAAAAACCTGAAAAAAAGTGAATTATTGGATCCTCATTTTCTACTTCGTAATCTTTATTATTATTATTATTATTATTGATATTATTATTATGATGGGTTTCGTGAACTGATAAAACTTTTCCTGTTCTTTCTTTCATATGTAATTTTTCTCTTATATTAAATTCTGTTAATTTTAATTTCGACATTTCGTAAGTGCCCCACCAAATACCAGAATATGGCACATTTCTAATCATTGTTGCTCCAAAACCTTTATATAATCCTCTCATACCTTTTTCTTGATAAATTTTTTGAAATACACCTATTTATATGTTTATAAAATTAAATTATTAATTAATAATCTTTTCATTATTATATTTGTAATTTAAAAATAAAATTACCTAAACCGGGTTTATATTTTGGTTCTTGTAAGGAACCTTGAATTTGAACGGTTTGAGTTGCTACATCAAATGGAACCCAAACAAAAGATGCTAAAGCTTCCGAAATTGCCCCAGAAACAGTTGTAACAAAAAACACTATAGTTTATTTACGAAATATGATGGTATTATATAAATAAATATATACATATAAATAATTTTTTTAATATTTTAAAATTAGTTTTTTTTTTTTTTTTTTTCTTTTTAATTAAAAATAAATGAAACTATACAGTCTGAATCTGATTCTAAATCCTTATTAAAAAATTTTCTGATTGTTTGTTTTGAAATTTCGTATGAACCAAAATAAATACCACGACTTGTTAGATAACCTAATTCTGATGTTAAAAATCCTTTATATAATGCTTTTTTTCCTTCTAACCCAACTAATTTTCTAAAACCGTCCATAGTTCCATTGTATTGTGGAAATGATTGTGTAATATTGTGAGATCCCTAAAATTTCGCACTATAATTAATAACCATATATATTTACGCTAAAACTGCTATATTAAAATTACTTACTTGAACCTGTAATCTTGTTCTAATTACATCAAGTGGGTACATTAATAAATCTATTGAACCACCTAATAAAAAATTATAAAAATAATATTTCTTTGGGTCCAAATCATCCCATTGTATTTTTTTATTATGATGACTATGCAATTCTTCTACTGATTCATTTTTACCTGTAGACATAATATAATATATATATTTATTTATTTATATACAATTTAAAAAATCAAAAATGATAAAAAAAAAAAAAAATATCGGATTTTTTTTTTAATATACCAAAAAAAAAAAACACACACAAATTTAAAAAAAAAAAAAAAAAATCTCTAAATAGAAATAATATGGACTATATAGTTATAAATAAAATAATTTTACAAAATACAAAATTAAACAAATAATGATAATGATAAAATAAATTTAAGAAAAAATGAAAACTAATTTTTATGTTTTTTAAAAAAAAAATTAAAAAAAATTAAAAAAAAAAAAATTAAAAAAAAAAAAAGAAAAAGAAAAAAAGAAAATAATGCATCTGCTGTATGTATAATTATCTTTTTTTTGATTTTTAATTTAATATTTATATTTATATAAATTTTTTACATAAATTTTTATACAAATGGTTTATTATTTTATATTTTATTTTATATATTTTTTTTCTATTATTTATTTATTATTTATTTAAATGATTGTTGATTTTTCATTTGAATCAGATTCAATAAATTCGCAACCAGACATTTTACTTAATTGAACTATTGATAAAACACCTTCATGTTTTTCTAATATTTCATTTTTTGATTTGTCGTCTTCTGGGATATATTCTTTTGCAAATTTTAACCAAGTTGGATAACGTCCAATATCCCAATTTTCACATTCTTCATTAAATTTATTTGCATCTTTCTTTGATTTTGAGCATTCTACAAAATTTACGTTATTCCATGGAGTTAAACGCTCTTCAACACCATCTACTAAAAATAATTTCTTTTGATTAATGCATGCACCACATCTTGATGATCCAAACATAACCATATTCTTTCTTGAAAGACATTGGGAGAATGTCTCGCTAATCTTGCTTGGCTCGTTACTAACGCCATTGATTACTAATCCACCACTACCACTATGCTACCTTGTAAGAAAACTAACATTAATAAATGACCAATTGCTACTGATACAATAAATGATTTTAATGAGTTTGCTACAACCCAAATTGGTGGTGGGGCTTTAAGGTCATTATAAACTTTAAATGCTAAATACATTAATCCAACATTTATAATGTGTACCATTGTACAAAATGGACAAATTTTACCAATTATAATTTCTGCTGCAATCTAAAAATAAAAATATAATGTTTGAAAATTTATAAATTAGTATAAAATATTGATTTCTTTTTTTTTTTTTTTGAACTTACAAAATAGATTACAAAACCAACACCAACAGAACACCACAAATAAATAGTTGTAATGTATGCTGGGATTTTATCTTCTAAATAAATTCTCCAAACACAATAGAGTAAAACTATATTCCAAGAGATACCATAGTAAGCAACTGGTAAACCTAAAATTTTTCCATATTCACTTTTTATAACTGAGGTACATGAGAGAGTTGTGTTTAAATCGCAAGTTCCACTTTCAATGTTTCCAAATGACATGTACAACGAAAGTAATAAATTTAAGATACCTAATCCACAAATATACTGTATGTACTGTACTATTGATCTTTTATTTAATGTTGCCATTTGAAAGTGTGTTATGAATGCACTATTATTAAATAACATTGGGAAAAAAAAAAAAAAATTTATTTTTCTTTCTTTTTTTATTATAAAAAATTTATTTCTATTTAATTATTTTAAAAAAAAACAAAAATAATTTTTAATTATTATTGGTTGTTGTTATACTATGTGTGAGTGTGAGTTTTTGATTATTATGTAGGTATTTATAATCTCTCCCTATTATTTTTATATGAGAGTGGTGAATTGGAGTGGGTATGAGTGTATTGTCTATTGGTCACCAGTGTGTTAAAAATAATTGTTTTTTTATTTTTTTGTTTATATGTAATCGAATTGATATAATTATTTAATTAATAAACATATAAAGATAATTTTATCAAACACACAAAGAATAAATATTGAAAAAAACTATTATTTTTATGTATAAGATAAACTAAAATCGACACAAAAAAAAAATTAAAAAATGAAAAAAATTAAAAAATTAAAAAAAAAAAAAAAAAAAAATAATAATTTTAAAAAAATAATTTAAAAAATAAAATTAAATGAAATTTTAAAAACCACCTTTTTTAAAAATGGTTTAAATTAAAATATTATCACATATATTAAAAAGAATTCTTGTTTGTGTTTAAAATACAAATATGATGGATTTTATTTTTATTTTTTGTTAAAAAATTAAATTTTTATTTTTTTTATTATTTTTTATTATTTTTTATTATTATTATAAATAATAGTTTTTGTTGTTATTATTATTATTATAATTATTATTATTATTACCTTTTTTAAATATTTATTCAATAAATGATGTTGATAAATTTAAAAAGTATTTCATAAGGCTTAATTGGGTTATTGAGGAGATTGGTTTCATTTGGTTATCTACAATCCAACAAATTTGAGCATTATTTTCAACAAATTTTTTGATAGTTTGAGATAGTGATGAGGATGGTGATACAACAATTAATTGGTCTTGATCTAATTTTACAAATTTGTTAATTGGTTCATAACATTGATTAAAAGTATAAATTGAAAGTTTTCTAAGATCTGATGCACTAAATGTTCCAATAAGTTTTCCTTCTTTATTGATTACTGCGATTTCTGTAACTTGTTCACTATTTAATAAATTGATGGCATCTATAACACGTGAATCGGAATCAATCGAACAAATTTGTTTTGATAACAATCCTAAACTTTTGATGGATGCATTTGATTTTAATCCCAAATCTTCAATATTTTCATGAATAAATTTGATTACATTTAATCTTGATACAATGTCTACTACAATAGTTTCTGATGATGATGCATAAATAGGAACTTGTGGTACATGTGTCATAATATGAATTAACAATTGAATTGGTGAATTAACATATAATGGTAAAAATGGTTCTCTATTATATTCTTTTTTAAAAAAAAAATTAATAAAAATGATATAAAAAAAATTATTTAAAATTTTAAAAATACTTACTTAAAACATCACCGACTGGTGTATTTGGTGAATCACTATTTGTAAATTGGCCTAAAAACGAGCAAATATCTATAATTGATAACATCCCAATATATTTTTTATGTTGAAGGTCAACGATTGGTAATGAGGTTACATTACTTTCGTTCATTCTCATTAGAGCGTAATCTAATGTTGCTTGGCTGTCAATTGTAATAACATGGCTAGTTTCATCGCACAGTATATATTCAATTAATGTATTTTGAAGTAAATCTATTAAATTATGTGTTCCGTAATCCAATTGTGATTGTGATCCGCTACTGCTTGTTGTAATTCTATTTCTACTATTTCTTAAATTTATATTACTAATATTTTCACCATTATTTATTTGTTGATCATTATTATTGTCGTGTGTAAAAAAATGATAAAAAAATGCACCTGCAACACCACCGCCTATAACTTTTAAAACTGTACCGAATGATGCCATTTCTTTTTAAGTTTATTAAAATAAAATTTTATTTATATTTTTTATTTTTAAATATATTTTTTTATTTATTATTTATTTGTTATTTATTATTTATTATTTATTAGTTTTATGTAAATTTAAATTAATTAATTTGAAAAATAAAAAAAATAAAAATGAACAAAAATTAAAAAAAAAAAAAATATTATTTTTTTTTTTTATTTTTTTTTTTATTTTTATTTTTTATTTTTTATTTTAATTTTAATTTTAATTTTAATATTTTTATAATCATTAAAAACAAATTAAAATATTATTTTATAATTTCTGTTTTAATATTGTAGTCTATAGATATAGGTCCAATGTTTTTTTTTTTTCTGTTGTAAACAACCAAATTCTCAAAAGTTTCATATTTTGCAAAATGCAAATAGTAGTTATTATCCTCTAGGATAGACCTTGGGTGATATGGTTATATTCAATGTAATTAGATTTAAAATCAATGTTATTCATTTTGGTGTTAACAAGATGGGTACTTATTTTCAATTGAAAAATGGATATAAACCTGGTAGTTCCCAACTTTGATTTTTATCTTTGAAAACCTATATAAAAACCATCATCAATTTTTCAACATTCACCAAAAGCTATATCAAAAAAAATATTTAATACATTTTAAAAATTTTAAATAATAAAATAATAAAAATAAACATTTTAAAAAAAAAAAAAAAAAAAAAAATTGTGACGATGCATTTTTTATAAAAATTATTGTGGCTATGCATTTTTTTTTTTTTATTTAAATTCTTTTTTTAAAATTTTTTTTTTTTACTGATAAAAAATGATGGATGCTCGAAGGGATGAACAAACAGCAACCAAAGTAGTCGATGAATGGGAGGTAAGTTTATTTAAATTGTATTTATGTATTTTTAATATTGTTTTTTAATTAATTTTAAAAAGAGAATTTTAAAAGAAGAAACAAAAAATTATTTTTTTCTTTACGGTGAAAATCATAAAACGCTCAATGAAGTTGAAAATGCAGTGAAAAGACATTACAATATAGAAGAGAATGGTGTGAAAAAAAAAATGTTTGATGAAATCTTTAAAGAAGGAACCATCATCAGTGATAGTTTCGAGAATTTATTAAGATCTTTAAGGTGGAGCCCAAAATATGCTTTTGTTTTTTTTTATTCAGGCCCAGTGGAGTATACCAGTGACAAATCTATTATAATTGGGTCTAAAGGACAAGAAATTTCTCTAAAAAATATCTATGAAAAATTTGATTCTATATTAAATGAAAAAAAATCAAAAAGTAATAGTTCAATATTTTTAAATAATAGAAAAAAAAAGATAAAAATATATTAATTTAATTTAATTTAATTTATAATATAGATTTTGCTAAATTCAGTTTAGTATTCTTAATAGACTCTCACAAAGAAACCGTTAAAGTAGATAATAATAATGATGAAAACAGAGCCAAAATCGCAATTGAATTTATAAAAAAAAATGGTTTAGTTTTACCCGAGCCTAATAAACGTAAGTATTGTCATTTAGTTTTAATTTTATTGATTTTTTAATTAATTATTTCTTTTTATTAAATTATTGTTTAGCCTATGGTGTTATTACTATTCCACGTCCATTTGACAATGTTATTATTGAAAAATATGATAACTCTTTCTCAGCATTCACTAATATTCTACTTGATAGAATTAGAGGTCCAAGTTTTGGAAGAAGAACTATCTTTGATACATCAGTTGTTATAGGAAACACTTTTTGGAGCGATTTCATTGAGTATTCAAACCACAATGAAATGAATTGCAAAACAAACATTATTAAATTAATTGTGTCTGATTTTAACCCCGAAATTAATTTGAAAGATAGGGCAGATTATGAAAATTATAAAAAGAGGATTATAATAAGTCATAAGTTTAATATCTTATCAGGTAGTAATAACTGTGGAGATGTATACTCAATTAAATTCTAAATAAAATAAAAAAAAGTATTAGAATACTTTTTTTTTATAACATCAATTTCACACACCCCAAGTGTGTTTTTATTTTATTTTTTATTTTTTTTCAATACACCTACACATTTTAAAAACATTATTAACACACAAACACACTAAATAGTAATTTGAAAATTAAGTAAATTGTAAAAACAAATAAAAATATAGTGTTATGGTGGTATAGATAATGAAAATATATTAATATTTAAATTGTATTATATTTCACACAACATAATTCAATAATTATTTTTTATTTATATTATTTAAATAATTTTTAATAAAAAAAAAAAAATAAAAAAAAAAAAAATAAAAAAAAAAAAAATAAAAAAATTTAATGATATTACATATTGTATATTATTTAATATCTTTCATATTATATTTTAAAAAAAAAAAAAATTAAAAGATTCTCCATATTAAAATAATAAAATAAATTATTTATTAAATTTGTTTTTTTTAGATATTAAATAATAATAGATTAAAATTATTATTTTTTAAATAATTATAAAAAAATGCCTTTTTTACATTTATTTACACCATATACAAATGCGGATAATTCTAAATTAATTATCCGTGTTTCCGAATCTAGATTAAGATTATTTATTAGACAATTATTATCAGAATTTTTTGGAACATTATTTACTGTATTCATTATATCAGGGTCAACTTTAGCAGCAACTTTTTCAGTAAGTGATCCAGTTACTAGAATTGTTTTAATTGCAATTTTACAAGGATTTGCATTTGCAGCAGTTATTTGGTGGATTTCAGGTATTTCAGGTTGTCAATTAAATCCTGCAGTTACTGTTGGATGTATTACAACTGGTAGAATGGGTATTCTCAATGGTATTGCATTTATTATCTTCCAATGTGTAGGTGCTCTTGTTGGTGCCGGTATGATGAAAGCATGTATTCCAACATTCTATGAAAAAAATTTATCTGCAACCACTTTAAATTCTGAAGTTAATGTTGCAAGAGGTTTTTTTTTAGAAATGGTTGCAACTTCATTTTTGGTATTTGTTGTTTTAGGTGTTGCTGTTTATAATGAATGGGATCCAAGAATTTCTCGTGTTGTAAGTTTTAAAAATTATTATTTTATAATTTTAATAATATAATTAATTTATTTTTTTATTTTTTATTTTTTATTATTATTATAGGCTCCATTAGCTATTGGTGCTGCTGTTATTGCTGGTGTAGGTACATTAAATCCATTTACCGGTGGTTCTTTAAACCCAGCTCGTTCATTTGGTCCAGCTGTTTTCTCTGATACATGGCATCGTCATTACATCTATTGGTTCGGTCCTATCGCTGGTGGAATTATTGCGGGTTTACTTTGGAGAATTTTCCTTTCTGAAAGAGTTCTTTTAATTGAAAGACCATACACTGATTTCCATAGATCAACCTACGGTACTGCTGCTAAATAAAATGGCTATGCAATTTTAAAAAATAAATAAAAAAAAATTAAAAAAAAATTAAACTAATAAAAATTTTAATAAATATGAAATGTAATCCAAATTAATATTACATTTATAACCAAAACTTATAATTACTATAATTAAATATAAATATAAAAATTATAATTTCAAAAAATAAATTAATTTTAACAAATAATAAAGAATATAATATTTTTTTGTATTGGATTTATATTTATTTTATTGAATGTGTAATAATATTTTAAGTAAATATATAAATAGTTTGAATTAAAACTGAAATACTGATGGATTATAATAGAGAAGGGTTATAAATTTTTTAAAAAAAAGGAAAATATATATTTTATTTCAACTTCTTTAATTTAAATCACTTTAAATAGAATATATATACTTTTTATTAATAGAGCAATTATCTAACACATTTTTAATTTTTTTTATTTAAAAAAAAAAAAAAATTCTTTTTATTTTTTAAGAAATACAAATAAATTATAAAAGAAGGTGGATAGAGCTAATAAAAAAAATATAGAATGGATTATTAAAATAGAATAATAATAAACTCTATTCAGATCCTTAAAATAATAATAGTTTTCCAAAGTACATTCAATTACAACAAACAATATTAATATTTTTACCAAAGATTTAGTTTTAATTAAGTTGGTTTATTTATTAATATTGTTTGTTGTAATTGAATGATTATGGAGTAAAAATATTTTATTAAAATTCAAAGTGGGCGCTAATGAAACTATTTAATTTCTTCATATTAATTTAAAACCTCTAAAGAACCGCACAATTTAATCCGTATCTATTAATAAAAATAAAAAAAAATTTTATCTACACAAAAATTAAATAAAATGAGAATGCAGAAGTTTGTATTTTATATTTTTTAAAAGGATAAAATCGACATTTAAAAAATATTTATAAATATATGTTTTGTTTTATTAAAAATTGTTTTTGTTGTTATATAATACATGAAATAAATAATTTAGAAACATTTTCTGTGGACGATTGATGGACCTGATTCGTCGTATTCTTCTTTTGAAATCCACATTTGTTGGAAAGTTGAAAGTGAAGCTAAAATTGAACCACCAATCCAGACAGAGTATTTACGTTCTGGTGGAGCAATGATTTTAATTTTCATGGTTGATGGGGCTAAAGCAGTTAATTCTTTATTCATACGATCAGCAATACCTGGGAACATAGTTGTACCACCTGATAAGACAACATTACCGTATAAATCTTTACGGATATCAACATCACATTTCATGATGGAGTTGTAAGTAGTTTCGTGAATACCAGCTGATTCCATACCTAAGAATGATGGTTGGAATAAGGCTTCTGGGCAACGGAAACGTTCGTTACCAATGGTGATGACTTGACCATCTGGTAATTCGTATGATTTTTCTAAAGCAGATGATGAGGCAGCAGTTTGCATTTCAGCTTCAAAATCTAAGGCAACGTAGGCTAATTTTTCTTTGATATCTCTGACGATTTCTCTTTCGGCAGTGGTGGTGAATGAGTAACCACGTTCAGTTAAGATTTTCATCATATAATCGGTTAAATCACGACCAGCTAAATCTAAACGTAAGATGGCATGTGGTAAGGCATAACCTTCGTAGATTGGAACAGTGTGTGAAACACCATCACCTGAATCCATAACAATACCGGTGGTACGACCTGAGGCATATAATGATAAGACAGCTTGAATGGCAACATACATGGCTGGGGTGTTGAAGGTTTCAAACATAATTTGGGTCATTTTTTCTCTGTTAGCTTTTGGATTTAATGGGGCTTCAGTTAATAAGACTGGGTGTTCTTCTGGGGCAACACGTAATTCATTGTAGAAAGTATGATGCCAGATTTTTTCCATATCATCCCAATTGGTAACGATACCGTGTTCAATTGGGTATTTGAGGGTTAAGATACCTCTCTTTGATTGGGCTTCATCACCAACGTATGAATCTTTTTGACCCATACCGACCATAACACCAGTGTGTCTTGGACGACCAACAATTGATGGGAAAACAGCTCTTGGGGCATCATCACCAGCGAAACCGGCTTTGCACATACCTGAACCGTTATCAATAACTATAATATTTTAAATAAATTTATATTATTATTAAATTAATAAAATTTTTTTTTTTTTTTTTTTTTTTAAAGAAATAATGAATATATATTTACCTAAAGCTTGAACATCTTCTCCTTCCATTTTATTTGTATTTGTATATATTTATTTAATTTTAAAGTAATTAATGAAAATAAAAAATGAAATTGAATTTATAAAAAAAAAAAAAAAATCAAAAAAATCAAAAAAAATTAAATAAAATAAATGAAAATTGGGTTTTATTTTTGGTTATTATTAAAATAATTTTTTTTTTTTTGGGTTACCCAGTTGTTGAGTGATAAAAAAAAAATCGTTTTTCAAAATCAATTTTTATATAAATGTTCCAAGTAAATTAAACAATAATATTTTAATTATTTCTTTAAAATTTAATAAAAAGTTACAAGTATTTTTTTTAGAGATTATGAAAAGTGGATGAAGATTCTTTGGTTATAAATAAATAATATAATCAAATAATAATTCAATTATTTGATTGTGAAAACCGAAAACCAAAAAATTAAATTTTGTATTTTATTTTATTTTTAATTTTAATTTTAATAAATTATTTAAAATAAAGAAAATATAAATATATTATTATTTGAGATATAATTATAACTGTAATATTTATTTAGTTATAAAATGTATATGAATATTTTTTTTTTTATAAATGAAGATGATTTTTAATGATATATTAAGCAATTAGCATTTTTATTTATTATGTTTTTTTATTTGGTATGTGTTTTATACTTGTATGAGTTTACCACACTACATATAATTTTGGGCACAGTGAGGTCAATTTGTGTGTGGTTCTGTAAATGTATTATCGAAATTCCTTAATTAATTAAATAGTCATTTAATCAATCAATTATAATAAAAATAAATATTTTAAATAAATAAAATTTTTTTTTTCCTTTTTATTCACACAAATTCAGAAAAATGTAAAATAATAAATTAAATTTATTTTTATTTAAGATCATTTACATTTCAAAAAGTGAAACTCCAACCAAGGGCTGTCAGTTTTTTTTTTTTTTAAAAGTGATAACTGTAATATTCATTTAGTTCTAAAATGCATGAATACATTACAACATTTTTCGTATATCACCGGGAAGATGGAATTTTTGCAAAAAAAGTTACGAGACCATCAGGGGTCGAACCTGAGACCTACCGGTTCGTAGCCGGTCGTTATATCCAACTAAACTATAGTCCCTATTATGATGGTCATGTTTATGTGACCCCTATTCGACTATCTTCAATGTTTTGATATCCCTATATTAACGCTATGATCCTCTAAGAACTAGAGCTAAGCAGACATCCTCATTTGGGGTCCAAGTAAACGCTTCCACATAAAAGGTCAAATACTTTTAAACCTTTTTTCAAAGTTCTTTTCACCTTTCCCTCACGGTACTTGTATGCTATCGATCCTAGACTTACTTTGTATTAAGAGTCACTAACTGCTGTTTACTAACTACTGTTTAGTAACTACCAACTCCAGTGTTTTCAACTAACTTAAGAATTAGCTTCCTGAACCAATCTCATTCAGTATAAATACCTCAAGTCCTCAGTCTAAAACTTTAGAGGTTTTTTATTCTATTTTATTCAATAAAGTACAATTTCATTACACATAAAATATTTGTTTATTACTTATATATATACATATTATCAAACTTGATCCAAGTAATCTACACCTCGAACCACTTTTTTTTTTTATATGTAATTTTTTATTTTTTTCCATATAAAAAAAAAAAAGTGGTTCGAGGTGTAATAAAGTCAATTGTTTTTTGATCCCAGAAATCGAACAGGTTTTTAACATAACTTTGAATTTGTGAATTAGTTTTAATAAAAAATAAAAATAAAACAATAAAGAAACAAATAAATAAAAAAAAAAAAAAAGAAATAATATAAAATTTTTTTAAAATTCGCTAAATTTATTGTAATTTAATGAAAGGAAGTTTATTTGTTTGAATTGGGTTTTATAAAAAACTTTAAACCTTTGAACAATCCTTTTAAATATTGCTAGGGCGTTAACTAAAAATGATGATTTGTACAAGGGTGGTTTTTCATGGGCGGATTGCACTACCTCATAAGACTCCGTGATTACACAATTCAGTATTAAAAGATTAATCCTAATATTTTATTTATTACAGTTTTTTACATTTTACTACTTACACCACAATGGGCCTTTTAGCGTCAATTAGCAAATTCTGACTGAGAACTGTTCTTTTAACTCTTCGAATGACTATTTTAAGTCATCAGGATTTTTATTGTGTTTTTGTTTTATTTAGGTATGTTTTTTATACTTAAATGAGCTTTACCACGCTGCATATAAGTTGGGCACGGTAACATCAATTCGTGTGTGATTCAGAAACTTGCGAGACTGTTAATATTTATTATTTATAAATTTATTGAATCAATTTTTTTTTTTTAATAGCTTTTTTTTTTTTTTTTTTTTTTTAAATTTGTATACAATAGCATTCTTTTTTATGATTAATGAATAAATTATTAATGTCATTATAATTATTGTGTGTCGCAGAAATTTTGAAATACAAAAATTAATAATTTTTTATTATTTTTTTATTATTTTTTTTTATTATTATTGAATTATAATAAAGAGTCTATAATTTCTTTTAGTAAATATAAGAGATTATAACCAAACTGGGAGTGGCTGGAGTATCACTCGTGGGCTAGTTTCTAAAGCTTCTTCATACCAATCACTGTCCAATAATCTCTTCTAATTTCTAACCCGATTCGAGGAAAGCTTGTGTTGCTTTTAATGGCTGATCCCTATAATCCTCCACCTTTAATAAGTTTTTTTTTTTTTTTAAAAGTTTTTTTTTTAAGAATTATTATTTGTTTCTGGTTATTTTGAAATTATTAAGAATGATTGGGGAAGAAAAAAAAAAAAAAAAAAATTTTCAAAAAAAAAAAAAAAAAATTAATAAAAAATAAAAAATTAAATTATAATCCCACCACACACACTTTTTTTTTTAATATAATTTTTAATTAAAAACAAACTAGTATTGTTTAGTTTTTCCCATAAAATCAAAGTTTATATGCTCAATATAAAATTTTTTTTTTGAAAATAGTTTCAATTTGTAAAAATTATTGCGCTACCAATTTTAACTTCATCAAAGATCAAATTGGTCGGTGAGTTACAATGCGAATATGGAGTGAGCAATTAAATTTTTAGGTTGGAGAATAATCTTGTCCAACAACTTCCAAAGATGTGTAAAAACCGATATTTATTTCGCTTATTCTTTTTATCTTCCAGGTGATTGTTTAGATTTTTTAATTAATTAGACGAAACAACTCGATTTCCTCATTTTTAAAGTATCAGTTCAAAAAATCAACAAAGCAGAGGTTCAAGACACTATTATTGTTAAATAGAAATTAATTGAAATTATGAAAAATAATTATCTATTTATAAATATTTTTATTCGTTAAATAAATAATTTTAATTTTTTTTTTTTATCAGTTATTTTTTAAAATGTTATTAATTGTCTAGATCTTGTTACTCCAAGTAGAGGTAGTATGTCCCCAGAAACCATTGAAACCTGCTTCTTATATAAATTTTATTTAAAATTTTTAAAAGAATTTAAATAAACAATTAAATTTTTTTTAAAACAATAATTTTTTTCCAATCGAATTTTTTATTCTTTATTGGATTTTATTCTCGAATAAACCGCAATCCTCAAGTTCGATTCGGAGCTTTAGTATTAATTTTTAAAATATTTGGGATCAAAAATTCCCCCGATCACACTAGAGATACATCAATATCATAATAGGGACTATAGTTTAGTTGGATATAACGACCGGCTACGAACCGGTAGGTCTCAGGTTCGACCCCTGATGGTCTCGTAACTTTTTTGTGCAAATCACATCTTCCCGATGATCTCGTTTTATCTTCCCGGTATAAAATAAAAAATGCAAAGAGCTTTAGTTGCTGGATGTTTTTAGAGTGTCGAGTTATTGTTTCAAAGGGTGTCGTAAAAACAAGAGTTGGCTATTGCAACGGAAATATATATTGTTGTATCTAATTTTATTTCTATGATATTAATATTGATTTTAATATTATCTAAAGGAAATGACCATGGTCCATAATATCGTTCCGGCATCTATTATCATAATGAACAAAAGAAATAGGCTACCGAAAGCAAAGAAGAGGAAAAAAAGAAATATAAAGTACCAATCGTTACATAAATTTTACCAGCTGGTCATTTCTATCTGAGGAATACCATCAACGTTATTTAGAATAAGGTAGTCAATGTTCTTCAAAAGGCTGAAATGATAAAATTAGATGGGTAATTTTATTTTTTATAATTTGTATTTTAAATTTTATTTCATTCATTCATTCATTCATTATTTATATAAATTAATATGTGGTGTATTAATGTCAGATGCAAAAATATAAAACATTTAAAATGTTTATAATTAAAAATAAAAAA